CGTGGTGCTGCCCGCAGAGCCCGGCGGGGCGGCGGCCGGGGCTGCCCCAGCGTCCCCGGAATAGCCACCGGCACCTGCAGGAAGGGGCCGCCTGCCAGACTCGTGGCGTTGTTGATAGAAAGTGTCTCCCGGGTGCCCATGAAACGTAGTTCGGTGCTGTGTTCCCGCTGGTGAATGCGCAGTTGTCTAAAGCTGCGCTGTAAAGTCTGGTCCTGTTTGATTGCAAACAGGTAGCCTGGTGCAGTTTCTCTGCGTGACTCAATCCAATTTCTGTTCATAATTTAGCGTTATATGTTCTTAACGCTGTTGCCGGTCTTCTGTGGAAGATTTCTCCCTCTGCGGTGTTGTAGATAATAATAAATTCCTTTGGTTTATTTTCACCTTTGCGTGAAGAAAATGGTGCTAGTCAAGTTAGTTTCTTATAGTGAAATGTGTATAATTGGGATTTTAGTTTTCTCTCTTACAAACAAAACTGCACGGATTTGTACAGCCCATCTGGTCTGCCTGTATGTATGTGACCAACACGTTTTTTAACTTCCACGAATCATTTTTGTTGTCACTCCTTTAGTGCGTATGTATGAGTGTCGTGACACTGGTGAGATATTAAGGGAAAAGCACAAAAAACAGAACTGTAACTTGAACCTTTTACCAGGGCTAAAGGATGTTGCCTGTAATTCTTGTCTATTACTCACAAGTATATTGTTAAAGTTGCTGAAAATACATCAATTCTTGATGGTTCAAGTGAGCAACTTTCATTGCATTTGGGTATAATGTAATAAACTGTAAATTCTGTAATAAGCATGCTCTTTGACAGGATAGACAACATGCTAGAAATTGGTTTAGATGGCAAGTCCTCTTAGAGATTTTTTTGGTCATAGTTCCCTTTTTGTGGTCTGGGGTAGAGGGAGTGAAAACCAGACAAAACTGAAAATATCTATGCAGTTGGTATTTTGTGTGCACAGAATGGCAAAGTGTGAGGGTAACTGTTGGTGCTGCTGAATAGAGAGTATACATGCATTGTCAGAGGCCTCCATAAATACTATTAATTGCTCTTTTGGGACAAGAATTACTCTTAATTGAACAATTAAATAGTTAGGTGTGTTTTTCTGCTAGTTTAAAAATGGAAGCACAACTCTGACGTGCCAACTTTTGTGTTCAGTACGTTTGAAGGTATTTTACTGTTTACTATGTATATGCTTCTGATACACTGCTGTATAGTTTTTCTTTTAAATAATAAATTAGGCCCTGTCTGTAACTGGGTTTTTTTTGGCATTGGAAAATCCAGAGCCAGTGCCCCACTGGCTCTTCACTGTATTTAAAAGTGATTAAAAGGTGGAACACAGATCACTGAAATGCTGTCTCGTTCCTTGGAAAACAATATGAAACCTTATGACAAAAGCAGAACAGCAAAGTAAAGCATCTAGTTTACCTAGATTTCATTACTCAGAAAAGTAATTAAAATGGCTTTTTTAAATTTCAGACTCAAATGGTGTGAACTCAGAGTTCAGATGTACATATGTGAATTTTATTTGTTTAACTTGAGGTTAGTGGAGTGCTTTAGGTTAATATGAAATATCGTATTTGCTTTTTGAAAAGCCATAGTGTCTTACATATCCCAGTTATATTTAAGACACTGCCATAAAAAAACCCATATGGGAATTATGTTTTTCTTTAAAATGTGGTCTATAGCTCTGGGAAATTGTTATTAGTGTAACTGTACATTTACCAAAGCAAGCAAAAATGTCAGTGGGGAAAGGAGAGCATGTAATTCTCCTTCAAGCAAAATAGTTCAAGTTTTTTTTACACCACCACAATTTTCTCTGCTGGAGATCATATGCATATAAAGAAGTCTGAGAGAAATCTGTCTAGCTGCTATTACTGTGCTAGTCTACATTTTCCACACAGACCTTGACTGTGTGAATCTTCTGTTTGGAGATGTGTATAAATTTGTGTCAGGATTTATTCTGGAGATATTACTACTGGAAAATCTCACAGCATTAACTGTTCTGCTGCTCCAATGAGACCTGTATGTCTCAATTCTAAATTTCTTCAAGAAGGAAAACTATTTTAGAGGTTTGCATAAGTTTAGAAAATCTGTCTCAGTAAGTTGGTGTCAAATTGCAAAGCATGAAAAATCCATGTGTGGGAAAAACTCAGAAAACTGCTAAAATTGCAAGGCAACTAAGGTGGCATAGAAGATTGTGGGTTTTGCCCAGTTTTAAATCCTGCTATGGATAAAATTTCAAATAAATGAGGAATACATACTTTCTGTGATTTCAGGTTTTTGTCCACATGGATGTTTTGTCAGTGTGCTTACAGTGATGGGATGGAGTAAAGAAGCTACTTCTGTGGGCTGAAATACTGGAACATGTATTGGTGCTCACCTGCCAGCTGGTCACACTTCATATCCATGCATTTAGTGTGTGGCTGGTGAGACTGAATTACTTTTACCTCCCTGATTTGCCTTGCTAGGAAGAGGTACTGTGTATTAGCTGCAATCCAGTACCTTTTACTTGAATGGCAGCTTGTGTTTGTGTATGTGCCCTCAGCTAAGAGTGGAGTTGTTATCATTATTTGCTATGATGGTTGATGTTAGTCATAAAGAGCAGAAAAACTGATTCTCTGGGCCTTATCTGAGGTGTAGAGGTGGCAGCAGCTGAAGGGGAAGAAACACAAGCTCATGGATGAAAAAGTACTGCTTCAAACAGCTCTGCAAAGCAAACCTCATTCAGCTTGCAGCTAGGCACAAGAGCCAGATTTTGCATTTATGGGGTTCCTGTTTGATACCAGTCAGAAAAGCTTGTTGGACTCCTGTTCAGAAATACGCAGTAGGTATTTGTTTAAACTGGGAGAATCTGCTTTTAAAGCTAAGCTGCTTCAGGAGACCATGGTTTTGCTGTTTGATTGGTGCAGGTCAGTGAGCATAAAATTTAGAAACCTTGTTATAAAACCTAACTGCTCTCAGAAGATGTCCTTGGAGGATTCTTCTCCAGGGTGTTTACTTATTGACTGGATGCTATAAATGGGCAGACTTGAAAAAACAAGAGGGAAGAAACCCCACACCTATATTAACATTGAACTAGGCAATTTAATTTAAAACAGGATAAGGAGGGCTCTTTCAGAACTGAACTTAGATATTAAACAAATACAATTATTATGAAAGTTATTTTCATGAAGTTATTACATTCCTGCTGATACTTTACCTGTACTTTTAATAATTTTGTGATCCATATGTTACAATTAAATGGTTTGAATGTGAACTTCTAATTAAGAATGCTAGAAGATTCAAAGTGCCAGCCTGGCAATGCAGAAGCTATTTATTTCCAAATGCTGTTTTTCTGAACTGTTAGAACTCCAGGGGAGAGGAAGGGAGAAAGCAAATAGCTATTGAATTTGATACTGGAACTTAACATAAAGTTGGTGTGTATCAGTAAGAAAGTAATGATGGCACAAGGATTACTCTGCAGCTTTTGCTTATTTTACCCCTGTAACATGAGTATTTAACTAAATGTTACCATCAGTAATGAATTCTTTTTGAAAATCTGAGTAGGCAAAAGGATAGATTTATTTCAAAAATGTCAGAGAAAGGTGGATTAAATGTCATCACCATGTAAATCCATTGAAGCAGTATGATGGTAATGTTTTAAGCAGTTACATACAGCAGTGGATCAGGCTGTGTGCCTCTCATTTGTTTGTTCCTATCTTCTCTCACTTCAACGTTCAGTTTTTGCCATTGGAAATATTTGTTTATTTGTTAAAATCTAGAGTGGAAATGAAAGAATGGAGAGTGAATTAACTGTCACTTAGCCTTCTGTATTATTACTTTGATCAGCAGAGAAGCACTCTGTGACTGTCAGCATATAAATAAATGAAAGGCTGAATTAAATCTCTGAGTTATTCACTATTCAGTATGCTTGTGTAACACTTACTAAATTTCTTTTGGGCATTGTAAATATGTTTTAAGGATATTGTTAAGCTCTCCCGTGCTTATTTGTTTATTTGGTAGGCAGGATACAGGCTAGTAACTGTTTTGAGGACAAGAGTAATTAATGCTGTATGTACAGGAGCCTTGTGGAGCAATTAAATGGGAAGACAAGCGAAATCATGTCATTTTATATGGCTGAAATGCAGAGTAGTTATACTGTGTCAGGTCAAGGAGGGCTTTATTAAATGTGGAAATGCAAGGTTGAGTTTTGGGAATGTGGTTTTCTGCAAAGAGCAGACAGGTGAAAGATGCCACGTTCTGAGTTTACTGTGTTAATATAATACATTCCCATTTGAAATGGAATGAGAAAAGGAATCGCCATACTTTTTTGCTATGTTAGCAGGGAGAGATTTTTGCTCTTTTAATATATGTAGTATGTAATTGTTATTGGTGCTCATAAGGCAAGGAAAACCCCTTTCACCTTCAAGGTGTTCTTTTCTACCACCTCATCAATGATCTCTTCCATTAGAGGCACAAGTTTCATATTTCCTCTCATTTTTTTAACCCTTTTACTTAATTTCTTAAAAAAAAAAAGGGTTGCCAAGCATTGGAGCAGACTGCCCAGGTAAAAGGTTGGGTCACTGTCCCTGGAGGTATTTGAAAGGTGTGTGGATGTGGTACTCGGAGACATGGTTTAGTGGTGGACTTGGCAGTGTTGGATTAGCAGCTGGACTTGATGGTCCTAGAGGTCTTTCTCAGCCTAAATGATTTTGTGGTTCATAGCCCTCTCTCTTAGAAGACAATTCTTGATTTTAGTTTTTTTGTTTGGTTGGTTTGATTTTAAATGCCTGTTAAGCACTAAGACATACTTAGATGAAAGTTGCTTGGAAAATGTGCATCTTACTGCCCTTAACACTGGGAAAGCTTTCAGATGTTCCCAAGTTCTGCTGGAAATGAGTATTTGGTGACAGAAGTCAGTCATTCAATTGCTGTCTGGTATGCAAGGACCAGATATATGTAGAAATATACATACTAAAAATATTTTTTATCACAGAGCTCTTACCTTGTCTAACAAATTCTGGTATGTTAATGGTTATTCTCTGTGGGTAAGGATGTTAAATCAAGACACAGTATTTATTAAGAAATAATATAATTTGCTCTTGTTCTTTGAAGTTCTGAATCTGTTCTGTAATTTTTGGAGGGTAAAAGGCTTAGAGAAAGTTAGATGCTGGGTTTTGGATCTGTATGTGCGAAGGGAGAACAACTTGAAGATTAGATACTCAATCTGTATGTTCACTTATGTAAGCTTAAAACAATTTAGTCACTGATTTAATGATTGAACAAATATAAAATGTCTTTGAATAAATCAATGTGAAGTTTTCTTCAGGTTTTGTTGTATTTTTAAGAAGTGATAGAAACGAGAAGAATCCTTCAGAAGAAAAATTAATCTCAAGTCTGACTGGTTTTAATTTGAGGAACCTGCCCTAGTGAGACATGGCCCTGCCTATGGCAGGGGTTGGAACTAGATGTTCCCTAAGGGCCTTTCCAGCCTAAACCATTCTATGATTTTTGTTCTCTACCAGAAGCAAAAGCTTAAGATATTGATTTATTTGTAAATATTTAAATCTTGACAGCTCTTTCACTTATACAGTAACAACTCTAGCTTTGGAAGTCATGTACCTTTCTTACTATTATACTAACAGTGATGACATCTGTTGTAGTCAAAGAAAAGTAAAATTTGAGTTGACAGAGCTATTACTGTAAGAGTTGTTATGACATCCTTTGTAGTTGAAGGAAAACTGCAGTTGACAGAGCAATAAAATATTTTGATACCTTTGTTTCTGGAGTATGTAGTATGCAAATATTGCAGGGGGGTACATTTGGCCTTACTAAGAATCTTAAATCCAGAGAACAAATAAAATCAGATGGACAGTTTTTACTAGTTGAAAAACATAATGCTAGAATATGTTCTAAAATTGTAAATGTTAAAAAGTATGTTGCAAATTGCTTTGTATGTGTTACTTTTCTTTAATAAAATAACAGTTGCACTTTAGAATGAAAGGGATTTTGGTCAAGTATTTGTAGCTTGTTTGCCAGTGGGTCACAGCTATATTTTCAGTGCTGAAAGAGTAGCATTGCTTTAAGGTAAAAGAGAAATATTACAAGTATTTGGTAGACTACAGCTGTTAACTGAATGGTAAAAACAACAGAGAATAATATTTTTAGTAGTTCTTTTTTGAGTCAGTGATTTTATATTTTTATATATATACATATATGTATATATATATATATGCCCTCTGTTCAGGGTTAAACTTGTTATCTTTAATAATGATGAAAGATTACTTTACATGCTTGAGGACTATCTTCCTAATGCTTTGAATTTCTATGTCACCACCTGGATTATCATACTTGGTTAAAACAGTGCTTGTTCCTATCAAACAGCAACCACAAAGTCACAAACCAGAAAATTAATTTTTCTGTTTGTTTACTATACCTCTTAACTGTAACCTAAGCTTTTGTCCAGAATGGCCTTGGTAGATCTGTCTGCTCCCCAGGTTTGCTCCTTTCAGAGTAGTTGTGGTGCTGATGACCATTGTTTCCTTTTACAGCTGTGTGTTCAGAGGCACCTGTGCATGAGGAGAAGTTTGTTCTATGGCCTCGGAGCTGGGTGACAGGGAGGATGGCAGCTGCTCAGAGCTGGCAAAACCCCTCTATCTGCAGTACCTGGAGAAAGCTCTGCAACTGGATCAGTTCTTACGACAGACGTCTGCCATCTTTAACAGGAGTATATCCAGGTACCAAAAGCTTTTCTACTTTCCCTTGGAAGTGCCCAGGAGAGACAGGCATGTGTATTATATTGTTTCCAACCAGCACCATATTAAGAATTTATCAGTGACTTGTTCGTTAGAAACTCTTCTGCTTTAAAGGAGGAGAGGTCACTTGGATTGTTCAGCCTAGAGAAGAGGAAATCTAAAAAATACTTTTAAATTTAGTAAAAATCTAGCATTAGCTTTGAGTTCTGAATCAAAGCCTTTCTGATTTCTTCCCTCTGGTGACCAATGACAGGACCTGAGAGAATGGCATGAAATTTTGTCAGGGAAGATTTAGGTGGGATATTAGGGAAAGGTTCTTTATCTAAAGAGTGGCTGGGCACTGGAACAGGCTCCCCAGGGAAGTGGTCACAGCACCAGCCTGATAGAGTTCAAGAAACATTTAGGCATCATGTTCAGGCACATGGTGTGATCCTTGGGGACTCTCCTGTGCAGGACATGGAGTTGGACTTAAAGATTTTTATGACTCCTTTCCAACTTGGGATATTCTATGATTGTATGAAAGATATTTGGACTGTGCTTCTCTCAGTTCATAGTGATAATACAGTGTGTTACCAGCTTGTGTACAAATTAGTACAATGTTTTAAAGCTCTCTTTTTAGCTGAGTGGCCAAAACTTTCTTTGTCTGCAAAAAGTGAGATGAGGAAGCCCTAAGTAGATTTTCAGGGATACTTACAGCCTTTAGTCATAAAGAAAATGGAAAGACTTTTGTCAGATGCAGAATTTGTGTCAGTTGTAGCAATGAGGCATCATCAGTGTGTGATTTTGTCCCAAACAATTACATACTTAATTTCATCAGTGTTTTGGAAATGTAGAGTTACAGAACTGGTATCTGAATGGGCAAGAGAGAACAGCTATATTTACAAGCATGTAGTAAGACCCACAAAAGGATTAGAAAAAGTACATCTACATTTCTCACATGTCCCAGTGAGTATGACAATACTGTGCTTCGGTTTGACTTGCATAGTTCATGTTCTTAAACTAGATACAGAGTTGAAGACTGGAGGTGCAGGTTGATAGCACAGTCGGGCTGATCTCATGATTGACTATTGCTAAGGGGTTAATTGGAAATTATTAACAGCAGTATTTCGAATGTGTAAAATTACATCTGAAGCTGTCTCAGTTCTCAAACCTTTAGATGAATGCCCATATGTAAGAAAGCTGGATGGGCGTCTTCTCTTTTGAATATTTTCCTGTCATTGTCACTGTATTATGGATCTTCTTGCAGTGATGAAAGTGAAGATGGATTGGATGACAATTCTTTGCTGCCTCAGTCTGGGGATCCCCTGATTCAAGTTAAGGAAGAGCCTCCAGACTCCTTGCTTGGAGAGTCTTCTGGAGCAGGGAATTCTGGGATGTTGAACACACATTCCCTGAATGGAGTACTCCAGCCAGGTAGGCATGTACTAGGTTGAATCTCTGCTTTCTTTGGGTTAGTCTGGAAAAGCATTATTTCTTAAGAACTTTATTTTTTGTTTTTTTTTCTAAACAGAACCAAAGTCTGAAAAAGGGAGTTTGTATAATTTTTCCAAACTGAAGAAAAGCAGAAAGTGGCTGAAGGTAAGAATATTAGAAAGAAATGTAGCTATTGTAGAATCTGTGAGTAGAGTTACCCACCTAGCCCTTCTCAGTCATTTACCAGCAGTCCTGGCCAACCAGGGACGTCCCAGTTGACTGAAAGTTGTTGCAAACATGACAACCATTTACAAGAAAAGCTGGCAGGACGACCTAGGAAACTACAGAACTGTCAGCCTGTTCTTGGTACTCATGAATGATTATGTAGCAGATCATCTTGAGTGTCATCACACAGCATGTGCAAGACAACCAGGGGATCAGGTCCAGCCAACCTAGGTTTATGAAATTCAGGTCCTGCTTGACCAACCTGATCATGTTCTGTGGCGAGGTGACCTGCCTAATGGATGAAGGAAAGGCTGTGGATGTCTATCTAGACTTCAGTAAAGCCTTTGACACCATCTCCCACAGCATTTTCCTTGATGAGGTGGCTGCTCACGTTTGGGTGGGTGCATGGTTTACCAGGTGAAAAACTGTCTGGATGGCCGGGCCTAGAGTGTGGTGGAGCCTGGGGTTACATCCAGCTGGTGGCAGCTCCAGTGGTGATCCCCAGGGCTCAGTAGTGGGCCTGGTCCTGCTGATTGTCTTTATCAGCGATCTGAACGAAGGGATCATGTGCACTCTCAGTCACTTTCAGACAAGTTGGGTGGGAGTGTTGATCTGCTGGAGGGCAGGAAGGCACTGCAGAGGGATCTGGACAGGCTGGTTCATGGGCCAAGGCCAGTTGCACGAGGTTCAACAAAGTGAATGTCTTGTCCTTGGGTCACAACCACCCTACCTGCAGTGCTGCAGGCTGGAGGAAGCGGGGCTGGAAAGTTGCCCAGCAGAAAAGGACCTGGGGGTGCTGGTTGGCAGCAGCTGAACATGATCCAGCAGTGTCCAGGTGGTCAAGAAGGCCAGTGGCATCCTGGCAAGTATCAGCAATAGTGTGGCCAGCAGGACCAGGGCAGTGATTGTCTCCCTGTACTTGGTGTCCTGGTGAGGCCACAGCTCAAACCCCATGTCCAGTTTAGGCCTCTCACTATGAGAAAGACATTCAGGTGCTGGAGCATGTCCAGAGAAGGGGAACAGAGCTGTGTAAGGCTGTGGAGCACAAGTCTTAGGAGAAGCAGCTGAGGGAGCTGGGGGTATTAAGCCTGAAGAAAAGGAGGTTTGAGGGGGACTCTATTGCTCTCTACAACTTTCTGAAGGGAGATTGTAGTGAGCTGAGGATGAGTCTTTTCTCACAAGTAACAAGGAATAGGGCAAAAGAAATGGCCTCAAGTTGTGCCAGGGGAGGTTTAGATTTTATATTAGTAAAATTCTCTTCACTGGGAAGGATGGTCAGGCACTAGAACAGGATGCCCAGGGAAATGTTGGAATCACCAACCCTGGAGGTGTCCAATAGGTATGTGGACGTGGCACATGGGAATGCGTTTAGTGGTGGACTTGGCAGTTAGTTTACCTTTCGAATCTGAATTTTAGTACACTGTCCAAATTAAACTAATCTATTATAAAATGTGTTAAATGGAAATTTGTGACTCGACTGAAAGTTTGTTTTTAAGTTGAACTCGGTACATGGTCTCAGTGAGGATGGCAGAAGAGAGGGGAATGGTGGCTTTATGCCGTCTTTGCATTTTCACTATATTGTAGCCATCTCAAATTAGCAAAAATATGTTGCCAGGAGATCAAACAACAGCCAAACTTGCAGAAACTGATGCAGGTAGAGTAGCGGGACAAACTACAATTGGGGTAGGGAAGCACCTGAAAACCACACATCACAAAATACTTCTGCTGTTATCCTGGCTTTTCTCACTGCTGCTTTTCTGAGACCACGAACAGACAAAGTGGACTAAAATGATTTGACTATCACAAACTAACAAAACTATTTTCCTCCAAATCAGAAAATGTGTATTGAATTCACTGCTACACAGGTCTGGTCCTCAGAAAACTATTTTCTATGAGTCATTTTAGATGGACACTGTAAGAGCTAAGTATCATTGTTGGGCTAGACCCATACCCCTTTTTTAGATAAAGGCTCAGGAGTGCTTTGCATAAATAAACAATTCAGCAGGGGGACTTGAGATTATTAAATTAGTTTCCATTTATTCTTGTTAGAGTATCCTTCTGAGTGATGATTCCAGTGATACAGAATCACCAAGTGATGAGGATGGAGACGAGGAAGAAGAATTTACTCTTTCAAGGGAAGAACTTCATGATATGCTGCGATTACACAAGTATAAAAAATTGCATCAAAGTAAATATAGCAAAGACAAAGAGGTAAAAAGTCAGAATTTTTACATTTCCTTGATTTTTATTCTTTCCTTTAACTGCATTATTTTAACTGTTTTTATGTTTTCATCAAAACTCATAATTTTGTGGACTGGAAAATACACTGTTTGGTAGACAGTAACTGTCTTAATATCACTTGAGACAAGGGTTATTTAATCAGTTACATATATAGAATGAAAGATGCTGTGAATCTGTCAGTAATGTATGTAACTAGTACTGGCACATGTTATATATAGCTTCCACAGTGCTCTGTCCCAATCACTGGAGCAAATATTGGGTGTTAGAATGCAAGATTTGGATTATGTATATGAAAATGGAGATGCTGTGAGTTAAATTCTAATACAGGTAGTAGCTGCTATTCAAGTGTATTTATATCATCGTTGAAGTGATGAATAGCAAGGTGATGTTTACAATCTTGAAAGGGAGTGCTTATTTATTATCTTGTCATTTTCTGTCATGATTTGAGGTTTCACTTGACTATTTTTCTTTCTTTTTACCTTTTTAGTTTGTTTATTTGTTTTGGGTTTTCTTTTGATACTCTCTTTCCCTTTAGAAGAAAATAGTCTGCTGCATTTTTGCATTTTTCTTAATATGAAGCCAAATTCTATGGCTGCTTTGATTCTAGTAATGTATTTCTTTGAATCATAAGGGCTTTTGCAGAAATGTTCACTGCTGATTTGAATTGCAGCAGAAAGTCTTAGATGAAGGAGGTAATCCTGCTCTGTTATCAGAGAATGTGTCTGAAGTTTAAATTTGTCTTCCTGTTTCATATTCTTTTTGAATTTCACCAGAAGAGTGAAGAAGTATTTTCCCACACAGGTCTTTGCTTCTTTCTACTTCTTTGTTTAGTTGTAAAGCTCTGAACCAATATTGTGTTACCTTCTTGAAATATTGCATAGCTACACAAATATTCATACACCCCATTTTTACACAGGTCATGATTTTATTAGATTTTACAAAAATACCTATTTCCAGACTAAGAAATAATACCCAGTGAAAGTAACCAGTGAGTGTATTGTTAGATCAACAGTACACAGTTATAGGGGGAGGGAAACATATATCAGAAAGGTTTGTTTGTGCTCGCGTCTCACTTTTCAAAAATCTTCTATTAACTTCAAAGTATGCTTAGGTTTAAAATAGTTAATATCTGAGCACTACTGCCTTTGATTTGCCCATTTATGTGTAACCTGTGATGAGTTCTTCAGTACTTCGTTTGAGTAATGATGGGAATATACTGGCATTTTTCATCTTTTAGGGTAAAAATTGCTAAGGAAGCTATATTTTTACTTGATAATCTGAGTGTTCAAGTTGTTTGTGGAAATCTTTTAAATACCTTTTCTTTAAGCTCATCCTTTTACATCCTTTGGAATGATAAAGTAGAACATGTATGTAATTTGGGAATGCAAGCAAAACAAATATTAGGTTCATAGTTGGACCTCTTCATGTAATGTGTTGCCTTGCTGGTCAGTACCTGTATGGAAAAGACAGAGCAGTATGTTTTGAAACTGCAGTCTTCACTGCCTGCTCTTCCCTCTTAGTTAACCAGGTGGGCTCAGTTCCCAGTGCAGAACTTGGAGGCCTCCCCTGGGAGCAGTGGTTTCACTTTGAACACTCTGATAGTTGATAACAAATGCAAGATATGGAGAAGGGCATGCTTCCTGATCTCTTGTTTATGTTCAGGACTGAGCTTGTTTAGGGGCTGTCTCTGTTACCTGCTCATTTTCACCCTTCAGTTGCAGCAGTATCAGTACTACAGTGCGGGGCTGCTCTCTACCTACGACCCCTACTACGAGCAGCAGCGCCACCTGCTAGGGCCCAAGAAAAAGAAGTTTAAAGAAGAGAAAAAAATAAAAGGTAAAGTCACTAACCTCATGCTTTTAAATGGCTACTGTGGTTTAACTTCTTTCCTACGTTGTTTCATTTGATTAAACATAAATGTTCAAGACTTGTGAGTTTTGCAGGGAAATACCAAGTTCTGACAAACGTTTTCAGAAAATATTGTGCTTTATTGTCTGACTTCTAGAAAGCTAGGGTGGAAAAAAGGTGTGGGACTGGAGAGTTAATGGCTTAAGATTTTCTTTGTGCACCTTATTCAGTGGTTTGGAATCCATAAACGTTGTTTCATATCATGGTCCATTCACTCAAAAGTATTTTGAAAACATGGTAAGTCCTTGGAACAGTATAAGAACTTACCCAGTAGCTGTCACAGTTATTCCTGAATATGTAGTTTTACTGATCAGGAAGTTACAGGGAGTCAGAGTGTTTTCTGGAAAATAGAGGGAACCCAGAGCTGATGTTTGATATCAGTTAGAATAGAATTATATCTGACGTAATAGTTGGAGTTCCTGAGATGCACATTTGCCAGGAAGTACAGTTTTCTTGTTTGGGCTGGCAGTTGTAAATCTGTAAAGGAAGCAGAGAAGGCTATGAACTGTCAGTGTAAGGTGAATTCTAGTGCAAGTACTTAAGTTCAAGCTGTTTTTTAAGGGGTTATTTCAGACTGTCTTCCTTCCTTTTGCAAGTTCTTCAACTGTGGTGGTTTTTTCTCCACTAATCTTGCAGCATCCATAAGTTTGCATACTCACAGTGTACATTTTTAATATCTGATACCAGTATCAGTTTCCTCTGAAAGGAGGAACATGACAACATGCCAGTCTTTTTAAATGCAATCTTTTCTTTGCTGAGAAGTTTGCTTTGAGACTTATTGTACCAAATGATAAATGTTGTCACCTTTAAATGTCGTATCTTTAAGTAGAATTTTGCCACAAAGCAAGAAACATTGCACCAAGTCCTAGACGTTTTAATTCTCAAGGTATGTTTTCCTAGGTGGAAGTAATTGCATTTCACACCTCTGTTAAACAGGAAAATCTTTCCATTATAACGTAATGAGTAAAGGATATGTGCAGTGAGAGAGATCATATCTAATAGCATAAATTGATTACACAAGAATTGGCAGACATGGATGAGTTTGGCTTTTTTTGTTGGTTCCACATATAAATTGACTAGGAGAATTTACTCAGGAAAGGTGCCTAATTAAATGTGCGCCAAGAATAGAAATTTTTATTTTTATGACTATTGTTGCTGTGCAGGCAAGTTGAAAAAAGTAAAGAAAAAGAGAAGACGGGAGGAGGAACTCTCTTCAGAGGAGTCACCACGACGCCACCATCATCAGACCAAAGTTTTTGCCAAGTTTTCTCACGATACACCACCACCTGGGCCCAAGAAAAAGCATTTGTCTATTGAGCAACTTAATGCACGTCGGCGGAAAGTGTGGCTTAGCATTGTTAAGAAGGAGTTGCCTAAGGTGAGCTTGGCTAATGGCAGTAGATCAGTGATGATACAAGAAAGTGAAATAGAAAATTAACTTAGTGGGGACTTGACACTTAGGAAAAACAAAGTAAAGTAAGACCTGATTTTTCTGGTGGTCATTAATGACCTAACTGGAATTCTGTAATCCGTAAGCAATGTGTAGTTGAAATATCACCAGTGGTACCTAAATGGATCACGCAGTGCTTTGCCATGGCTGTTGAACCTTCGGCAATGAAAAGTGCACTAAGCTCTAGCAGGTACTCACGCTGATCTACAGGATGGCAGTATAGGGCAAACCAGTGTCAAGGTTTACAATAAAGTTCAGAAAAGGGGTGTTTCAGCCACAGTGTCTGTGTTTTTCAAACCTTGCCTCAGAAACAGACTAGGGAAAAGTGTTTGTGTCATTTACAGGACAAGCTTCAGGCACATTTGAAACAGAAGTCTGGGTTCACTGTTGATAGTTTTCTGAGATGGTCAGAGTGGACCTTAGAACCTGCTTTTTGAAGTTCACAGTTAACAGACTTGGAATTCTAGGAAGTTACAACAAGTCATGACTGTACCATCCTTTATGAACTTAAAAGCCAAATTAAGGATATGTGCAGTGAGAGAGTTCATATTTTTTCAACAGATTATTTTTGATCATGTGAAGAACATAAGATCTGCATAAATTCTTAACTTCTTTGGGAAACAGTGGAAGATGTTTGTCTCAGTGATAAAAATGGAATAGGAGAACCCTGCTTTGCAACAGTAGTAATTTAAAGAAACAATTGTGAAAAAAGAGGTGTTTTGCATGCTTCTTTCAGGATTCGGAATATATTTATATATGCCTTCAGTATTTTAAGGATGAAAAGCGGTTTCAGTTAAAACGAGGAATACTTACAGTACCTATTCTCAATTATACAGTAATGTGCATGACTGAAGTTGGCACATGTACCTGCTGAAGACTAGGTAGTGTTTTTTTAAAATACTGTGAAGCCATTACCATTCAACTAAGTTACAGGTTGTGCTCTTTTACAGGCATACAAACAGAAAGCTTCAGCTCGTAACCTCTTCCTAACCAACAGCAAAAAGGTAGGTGGTGTTTAGTTTCATACTGTTCCTTGTACTAGAGGTAATAACCAAACTGTGACCTCTTTATGTTTCTCCTGTTTCTTACAATACTGACTATAGTAGCAGGGCAGTATAGGAGAAAGCACTGTATACAAGTATATTTTTATATATTATATATAATATATATAAGGATTTTCAATTTTTAGTTGTGTAGTTTTGTCTTGTTTCATAAGCAGCAGATAAAACAAGCAACATGAGTTCCTTTCATGAGATCTTTCTGGCTTTTTAAAGACTTAGTTTGTACATTTTAAATTTACTGATCTTGGATGCTGTGCATTAGTGGCTTTGGTATGCTTTGACTTTTGAGTTGCCCATCTATCCACTACTAAAAACTTGCTGATTTTAAGCATTCTGGTTGAAATCAAAGGGACTCTTGAATACTAAGTGCTTTAATTTAGATAAATATGTAGAGGACCTGAGATTAAAAATAGATCGGTTTTCAGCTTAAGTGATTGCAAAAGCAATCCATCTTCTCATCAGAGTCTTCTCTGAGAATCAGCATTGTTTCTACTTAGAGAACTTTACTTACAAATACTAAGAGCTTTCTGAGCACTTTTCAAGGGTTATACTCAAGTGTCTCATCCATTTATATGGTTCATGATGAAAAGGTAATCAAGTATATGACTAAGAATTGTTAGAGACAAGATGATGTAGGAAATTTCCTGTTCTGTATATACATTATCGAGAAAGGGAGCATTTTCTGTGTAAGGGATGCAGAAAATGGGACTTGGTTGTATGTTTAAGAAATTTGGCTAGTAGGATTTACATTTTTTAAAGTTCCACTTTTTTTGGCCTTCATTTTGTTTTATCATTTGAAATCTGTATGTTTGAATTGTTGATGTGCACATTTTAGTGGAAGAAAAAACTGTCACAAACTAAAAAACCCAGCAATTTTGATCGTTATTACAATGACATCAAATTATTTCTACTAGAACAAAAAAATTACATTTTCCTATGCTTCATGAAACAGTATCAAAACTGTAGAATGCTCCCTCACTTTTCTGTGTATTAATGTGAACAGGATTGTGTTCAACCAATACTGCTATTGCAGTATTCTTAATTATATTCTTACTGAAAAGTCAGTAAATAAGCTCAGAAAAGTGTCAAGAAATAGATGAATCAGAGCTTTGAGGCAAGCCTTGAATTTTGTTCTTCTGAGTCCCTTTCAAGGACCTGTCCGTCAGATCAATCTTTTAAGTAGTATGCCATACTGAAACTGACAGCAGATTTTGTCTTCTCCATCATCTCAGAATTTTTTTGGAAAATTGCATTCTCTCATGCCATTTTAGAAGCATTGCTGCTGAGTAAAGTATCACAGATTTTTCTCTTCTGAAGTATCAGACTTGGTTATAAAGAAATCTCGTATTGTTTATTGCTGGCTTTCTTTACAATCTGCTCATTTTACCACTGTTCCCAAATCTTATTTCCCTCTAGCTTGCCCACCAGTGCATGAGGGAAGTCCGTAGAGCTGCTATTCAAGCGCAGAAAAACTGTAAGGAAACTCTACCACGAGCGCGTCGTCTCACCAAGGAGATGCTTCTCTACTGGAAAAAGTATGAAAAGGTGGAAAAAGAGCATCGGAAACGTGCTGAGAAGGAGGCTCTGGAGCAACGCAAGCTGGATGAGGAGATGAGAGAGGTACAGCAGAATCACAGATTGCTGATATTTAATATGATGAGGAGACACAGAAGTGACTGCATAATTTGAGTTTCTAAATCCAAACCATGAAATTCAGTTATTTGGTCTGTTCAGTGCTATTCCACATATTTCTTCTACTATCTTATTTTTCTTCACATAATTATTCTAATGTTGTTAGCAAGCGGTGGTTAAAAAAACACCTTCAAACTGCATGAATTCTTTATAATTGAGTGAAATTGAGGAAGGAATTAGAGAAGCAGTGCATGTCTCACAGGCATACACAGCTCAGAGTTGTAAGGGCCAATGTTTTGTGATGGTTTGTGCATCTTTCTGGGTCCAGAATGGAAGGCACTTTCATTGACACTGAATTTTTTTCCGGTCCTCTTTTTCCCTTGCTGTAAGCTGATTTACTGTGATTTACTTATGGGACACAAAGTTTTTCTGTGCTTGCTTTTCTGTTGGACAACTAGCAACTTCCTGGACTCCATTACAGAGTAAAAGGGATTGAATTTAAGAAAGTTTCATTGTAAAAGCTCTCTAGTGAATCTGGGGTTGTTACTTCAGGTGTGTATACCTTATACGAGGAAAGGTTGATTCTTCAGAATGCCTTATATTTAGTTTTGTGCTTAAATTAGGCTTGCATTTTTTTGTGTTCCTCTCTTTCTTGCAAATTCATAAGGATTTTGTGAAGCTTTTTGCTGACTTAGGTTTATAGGCAGATTGCATTTTTTGCCAGAGCCTAAGGGTGAACGGAGCTTCTGCAAGGTCTTGCTGAGTGCTGAGTAATGATAATATCTCAGCTATATTACCTATTGATATATTTCATGTATACTACCATAATTCCCTCTACTATTAAGTAAAAGAATGTGGGAGTGAGGTTGCCATGAGAGCGTTTGTTAACTGCTGAGTTTCTTTACTATAGACCAATAAAGTTGTGCTGTTTTTATTGATCTTTTAATTTTTCAGTGTAAACAAAACATTTAAACTTTCTTTTATTAGATTGTGGCGGTTTTTGTCATGATTACTGGATTTTAAAAAACTTTTCATTTACAACAATTTTATATTTTAATATAGATATTTATGGAGTTGGTCAGTGTTCTTATGTGCAACTAATAATGTAGCACTTAGCAAAGTGATGTGCTTAACATAATCTAGATAGATTAGTTGTTGATATATTACTGAATTAATTTTTTTGTTTAATTTTATTTTTAATGCTGAACACTTGTCCTTTCTCTTTTTCCCCTTCTTTTGTTTTTGGTAATGCTCTTCTCTTAGGCTAAGAGACAGCAGCGAAAACTTAACTTCCTGATAACACAAACTGAATTATATGCCCATTTTATGAGTCGTAAACGAGATATTGGACATGATGGGATACAGGAGGAAATCCTGCGTAAACTGGAGGACAGCTCTACCCAAAGGCAGATTGATATTGGTGGAGGAGTAGTGGTCAACATCACCCAAGAGGATTATGGTAAGAGATTCATCTACATACTCTTTTGAAATTTACCGTACTCCGTGTGTTATCATACAAACTTAACAAGTTAAAGCACAACATCCTTCTCTCCAAGAGGGACTACTGCAATTATTGGAATTTATCTGTGTGTTTGGGTGGTTACTGCTGCAGAGCTCTAACATGGATATGGTATTTTCAGATAGCAACTATTACAAGGCCCAAGCTCTGAAGAATGCTGAGGATGCTTACCAGATTCATCAAGCCCGGGTATGTATTTTTTGGATTCATGAAGTAGAAGAGCAAGCAAAGTAATTGGCAGAGACCACAGTATCAGGATCTTTCATAGCAGCCAAGTCAAATAGGTTATTCCAGGGGCCGGATTTGAATTTAGTCCCATTGACATGTTTTGTGCTAATTAGAAAACCAGAGTATAAAGATTTGGGCTATAGGAACAGGCTAATTTTCTCTTAGTTTCTGGTGAGTATCATGCTTTAATGTGAATTATAAAGCCTTTTACACTGCTGTTTCTTGATAAGTTAATATATTCACTATCTTATGCATACCTTCTTTCTATTCAGACCAGATCATTTGATGAAGATGCAAAAGAGAGTCGGGTAGCTGCTCTACGGGCTGCTAACAAGTCCGGTACTGGGTTTGGAGAGAGCTACAGTTTAGCAAACCCATCTATCCGAGCAGGAGAAGATATTCCACAGCCTACCATTTTCAATGGAAAACTGAAAGGTTATCAACTGAAGGGCATGAATTGGCTGGCCAACCTATATGAGCAGGTACATTAGTACATCTTGCAAATTTTTATAACTTCTGGAATTATTTAAAGATGGCCAAAGGAATCTGCTGTTTTTAAAAATGGACTATAGTTGATCTTTAATGTATTTGGAAGAAAGAAAAATATTAGGTAGGCCACGTACCAGTGTTCTTGGTTATTTAGGACATAACGGCTTTGAATGGAGCATTGAGTTCAGTATACTTTATGTGGTTTATACAACTGTTTATCACTTAGATCATACGTGGAGGAGGCCTTTCCTGCTTGGCATTGCATACTGTTTCAGGCTTGGGTCAGCTGATAAACTGCAGGCAGTCTTGTCCTTGTGAGTGTGCCCAAGTCATAGTGGGATCATGAAGTGCAGAGAAGCTCAGGGGGAAAATTAGGCTGAGAGATCAATGAAATACAGTTGAGATCAGATCCCTCTCCAGAGCAGATGTAAGAGATTATAAAGTTTCAGAGTGTCGGAGTTCTTACAGTGGGGCTGTTCCCACTCAATTCAGTAGCAACTGTTCTGACAGTTCTTTGTAGATTAAAAAGTAGTAAAGCAAAGGTGTTCATTTTATGGATCTTTTGCAGGGCATCAATGGAATCCTGGCAGATGAAATGGGTCTGGGTAAAACAGTACAAAGTATTGCTCTCCTTGCACATCTGGCTGAGGTAAGTGAATTATAGCTTGTTCCTGGGTAGTATGCTTGATAGAAGATGCATATTTTTCACGTGTTGGAAATGAATTTTGGATTATAAAACGTAAATGTATTAAAAGGTTTTTTATACATTGTTTTCAAATGGAGCCATTCAAATAGTTATAAATATGTATGTATGTATGTCAGTTTTTATTTATGTAGTTTTCATTTCTTCACAGAGTAATATCTTCTCACTTGCACTGAATATAAAAGCCTCAGGAGAGAACAAGTTGTACACTTGATGGTTCACTGACTTTTACAGATCAAAGTGCTCAAATTCTGAGCTTTGTGGCAATTAGCATTAATTTCCACATTCCAGTGGGGCTTTTTAGGAAGCATAGTGATTCTTCTGTGCCAGGGCAGACAAACAAAACAGAATAAGATACAGAAGCTTACTACTTAATGCAGAAATAGATACATTTATTTCAAAAAATAAAGGGTTTGACTGCAATCCAGTCAGTTGCATAAATAGTAGATATCAATGATGTGATGCTAGAAGCAAAATCAGCTGCACTAGTGACCAAGAGACAGTTATGTACATTTCATTATGTTACTGGTACTGTTGGCTGAAATACTGAAAAGGTGTGCAGAGCTGAAGGTTCTTGAACTCATCTGTATGGAAGGAATAACAAAGATAAGTTTGTCTTCCTGTGACACTGCACCTTGAGGTTTTTGGAAGGTTACACAGGGCTTTATTCTTCTGGCCCTTCTGAGGGCCAGCTTGTAACTGCTAATATATTAATGGATCAACTTAGTTGATCACCAGAGAGTACTGTAATTTGTGATGTGGCAGAGCAAAGTTTTTCAATGCCACCTGAAGTTCTTTTCCTTATCAAAATGACAGTGGCTGTTTGTAACATGAAGGTGGCAACCCTCAGAGACAAAGGAGTTTGTTCTGGGAACAACTTTGCTGTTACGAAAGAAGTCTCGGTTAAACATTAGATCCGCTCTGTTTGATTTTGTATCACCCTGCTGTGCTGGGAGAGTTTTGCTGTGTTGCATACAGTTCTCTCTCATGTAGCCACTGTCATTTAGTAGAAGTAAAGCCATATCAAACCATCTCTATATTACTTCCCTTCAATTATGTTTTTTAATTTATTTATTTTTGCGTGTTTTCCAGAGAGAGAACATCTGGGGACCTTTTTTAATAATTTCACCTGCCTCTACTCTGAACAACTGGCACCAGGAGTTTGCCAGATTTGTACCTAAATTTAAGGTAATGAGCACGTCTGAGGAAGTTTGTTCTGTTTTCTCGAGAGCAAACCATTGTGTTCTCCTGAGTTCAGTATCGCATCTGGGTGCTTGCTGACCTTGGAATATGAAACTCTGTAATGAGCCTGTTTCTGCTATTTTTTTTCCATCATGCAGTTTCTTTCTGGAGTGCTTAGTTATCTAGGGCTTAAAAATATTCTTACTTTAATCACATGACTTTGACTTTGCATCGACTTAAAGATACCTTCTCAGTAAGGAATTGTAGTAAGTCAGTAAATGGACATGTAATTTTAATGTGTGGTCCTGGCAGCAGAACCAAGAATAATATACCAAGTTTTATATAATATCTTTAGAGTTAGAGCTGTGTTTTCAGTCATTCATGTGAATTTGAGTCAGGTAAAGATTGTATGTGAACAAATGCTGAACAGATAAGAGGGAAGCAAAATGTAGTTATTACAGAAACAGAAAAAAAGCCAGGGGCATACAGTTAATAATCAAGAAAAAGGAGAGAAGTAAAGCACAAATAGATAGGAACAAAAAGATTGGAAGAAAACAAATGAAGGTTTTCAGGTATATTGTGAATGTGAAAACATAGTAAATAGAAATAGTAAATAGTAAATTAGAAAGCAAGGAACTATCAGTACTGATAAAACAAGCCGCTTACCTGTCCTCCAGTGGAAAACATTGGGGTTTTGCAAAGGAAGATTTGAAAAGAAATGTGTACTGCTGAAACAGTGCTGCAATTTCAGAATTCAGGATAGACAAGTGTCAGATGCTTGCAGTTACATCTGCAAAGAGGAACAGAACATAGTTTAAGTATTTGATTTGTTAGCATAGTAACATTTGATATGAAGAAGTCTTGATTTTTTTTTTTGAAACATCAAATTTTCGTTTTTACAGAAAACAGTAGAAAACACCTAGTTATGAGTAACCAGTATACCAGTAATATCAGGCTAATTGTTTGAATGCCTTGGCTACTTAAAAAAGTGTGGGGGAAAACACTTTGAATGTATTACTATAAGTGATACTTGATTTTTTTGATCTGGGCAGGGCAAAATTAAAGGACTTAGCTTTTGCCAAATGGAGATCCCTGATGAGACTGTATATTGGTTGTGGTGTTGTGTAGTTTGAGATATCTGTATGAGAAGTGCTAGAGCGTAGTTCAATACTGGATTATTCAAGTGACTTGTATTTTGGAATGAATTGGCATTACCGAGCCTTTGAAGCAACTAATGAAGAAATACAAACACTTGTGTTAGTGAGGAGGTACTCAAAATAAACAAAAAGCCAACACAACCTAAAACTAATCCAGTCATGTCTTTTCAGAGCCCAAAATAATAGAGGCTCTTGATTAGAAAACTTGAGAGCTGTTGGCCATTCTATCTGCTTTCTCTCACTTCCTTTGATCAGTTCATTGTATGGAATGGGCAAGCAACTGTTTATGCTTTCTCCTTCTCAGGAATGAAATACAGCAAATGTTTGAAAAATGCAGTCAGGATGCTTGTGACAAGATAGTTTTCTCCTTTTTGACTTAAACCCCAAAACTCTTTGTATCATTGTATAGCTGTTCCTTGACATGCTGATCTTACCGTGTGCTGATGTTTACCTCATCCATGGAATAAAACGTATTTTGAAAAGATGTTTTCTAAACGTACTGTCACATGTTTACAACTTCAATCAGTCTTTTTCAATCAGTTTTGTTTCTGCCTCTAATCATACAGAAGTGTGCAGTCTGTTCTGTTTGTAGTAAATCACAATGAATTTATATCCATGGCAGAATATGTACAATAAAAGACAAACCACTTTTTGATCAGTCTGGTTGTCTTACAAGCATCTTTATTGCAGAAGAATAGGAAGAGTATTCTATTAAAGGCTTTTGGAACCTGTCAATTGAAGTTGTAAGACTTTTCACCACCTTCCTCCTTCCCAGACCTCCCAGTCTTAGCTGACTGTAAGTCCTTCCAGGAGGCAGGAGATGGCAGTACAGTGTTATTAACCAGTGGCAGGAGTCAGTGCTCTGCAAAGGTCTGAGTAATAGGATCTGTGCAATTTTGAACTGTAGATAGTTTAACAGATTTCTCTGGCAGTAGTGCTTGCTTTTGAAGTTCTTGTATTCAGTATATCCAGGCCAGACATTTTAACTTGATCTCAGATTTTTGGGGTCAGTTGTGAAATAGAAAACCGTGGTCCAGCACGACTATGGGGATTGTTAAACAAGCAACAAGCCCTCTAGTCCTCTAGGTTTAACCATAGCAGTTGAGTGCAGACCTCTTTCTGCCATAAGCAAAGTATCATTTTTAATTTTTAATAAAACCTGACTAGAAGGTTTGTGCTAAATGCTAATGGGCATTTTTAGATTCTTAGCATAGCTTGATCAGGCCAAGTTGCTTGATACCTTTTCCTAGAATGCTCTTTTTCAAAGTATTTTTAAATGTTTTCTAATTTTTCTTGGTGGTAAAAAAAGATAATTTCCCTTTTTGTTGTTTTGGAGAAAGTGGTACGTCACTTTGTAGACTACAGACTATAAAATTCTAGCACTGGTATCATTATTTGAAAATAATGTCTTTCTATGTTTTTTACTGTTTCAGGTACTACCTTACTGGGGAAATCCCCACGATAGAAAGGTGATCCGAAAGTTCTGGAGTCAGGTAATACCAGCATGACAGTGTGCTTTGACTGTCTTTCTTTTTGCAGAGTGAACCAGAAACGGTTTCTGCGTATCACCAGATTAAACTAATGTGTGGATGCAGAGTTTCTTCATTCCTGTAGTAGCATTTTCATTAAGATAATGAGGTGGAAGACTTCTCTTGTGCTGAAGAGCAATACCATACAGGGCAATTCAGTACAGTGTGGAGTTTGGATGAAGAACTAGAGCTTTGTGAATAAAGCAGGAAGTTTCAGTGTCAAGGACTGTACATGCTGTTTGAGTAACCTAACTCAGGATGCCCCAATCCAGAATCCCTGCAGTTCTGTCAAGATTGTTCCTTATTTAACAATAGCATTTTGTAGGGTTCGTTACCCAGATCTTGTCTTGCATGTTAAGAAGGGTCTGAAATTGGTCAAGGGCTGAAGTCCAGGTCCACTAATGGAGTAAGTGTGATAAAATTAATTTTAAAAATCAGCTGGAGGAAATGGTAATGAGAAGATTGTAAAACAGAAGTCTGGAATTACAATGTACTCTTGACAATGTATTTACATTATGTGGACATTTGTTTCTCCTTTTGCGGTTATAGAAGACATTGTATACTCAGGATGCTCCTTTCCACGTGGTAATTACCAGTTACCAGCTGGTAGTGCAGGATGTGAAGTACTTCCAGCGAGTGAAGTGGCAGTATATGGTGCTGGATGAAGCACAAGCACTCAAGAGTAGCTCCAGGTAATAAACTAACTGGAAACAAAATCTTTTCTGTGGATCGGCTTCTTGGAGAAATATCAAGAAAGCATCAAGAGAACATAAATTGATAGAAGTTAAAATTGACACACATAAGACCCCTTAAGTATCTAACCTAGTTAAATGTCTGTATAACTCTCTGACGTTGGATTGATCCATTAGGTTTTTTGCATTTAGATTTTCCAAATATGTAAAATGTAATTAAAAGGCAGCTCTGGAGCAGAAACTTGTATGGAGCACAGGACAGTTAAAAAAAACAGTATGAAATGCTGTTTACTTTTCCTCCTGACTACTCAAAGAATTCTGCCTGGTGAATGGTTTGTAGTCTTTAACTTATATTGCTTATATTGGCTCCATTAAATGCATTATTTTGATTCCTTATTCAGTGGCACTTCCAGACATGAATGAAGGTCAGAACCCCATGAGTACTGTTGACTGCAGCAAAGCCCAAGCTGTGTCATGAGACTATGCCAGAAATTTTTCTGTTTGTTTTTATGTAATGGATTTGTCTGTCTTTACTTCTGTAATTGCTTTCCCATAACCTTTGTTCAAGTTGCCACTGTACACAGTAAATGGAGGACTGCTTTATATGCAGGCTCATTCTGACCAAAGTTTGTCTCCAGAGCATTCCTGGGAAACCACCCCTCTTAAGAGGATTTTAATGTACAGCTCAGCACTCCTGCCACAATAGACTATACACTCCTCTTGTAAAGTGTGAAGAAGACATGACATTGTTTCTTTTGGAAAGTTAATTATTCAGATAATGAGATTTTATTAGTAAGCATTTGTTTTAAAAATGAGTAAAAAAGATACTTAGAAAATAAAATAAATTATGCTCTTTTTTATTTATTCTTTTTAATTGGAAAAAGCCTACTTTTTCCTATAGTTGTTGTTTGAAAGACTGGGGAACAGCTGCAATAGTTTCGTCCAGTGACTTCTAAAGATCATTTGGGAAACTCACTGGAAGCAATTGGCCTTAAAATACTTCATGTTTCATATCATTCTTCTTCAGTTTTCTCTAGAAATTATTTTTCTTGTTTTTATTCATCAGTGTTCGTTGGAAGATCCTACTGCAGTTCCAGTGTCGAAACAGATTGTTATTGACTGGGACCCCAATCCAGAACACAATGGCTGAGGTATAACAAGAATACATATTAAATGTTCGTGAACAGTTGAGAAACCTGTTGTATTTGTGTGATTGTGAGATCATGCTTGTAGGAAACCACTGGCAAATAAACATGGATCAGCTCTGGGAGGGAAAAATATGGAAACTTGCCACACATTCAAATAAAAGTAAAACTTTTTTTCAAAAGATATTTGAAGTAATACTTAGATTACAGGATGAAACTTAAATCTAGTGACTTTTCCTTTTGTTGGCTGAAGTAATTATGCTGTTTCTCACTGCTTTCTCATGGGGGTTTGTTGGTATCTGTGGCATTTTGGGGGATGCAAGAAGAAAATGCAGGTGGGGTTTTGTTTAATTGTATCATGTCTCATGATCTAGTAAAGTGATTTCGCTTATAACGGGCTCAAGATTTTGGGATTCCCAATTACCTTGTCCACAGTAGGATGACTTTTGCTAATCCAGTGTTTTCTCCTCTCCTGTTAGCTGTGGGCCCTGCTGCATTTTATCATGCCAACACTGTTTGATTCCCATGAAGAGTTTAATGAATGGTTTTCTAAGGACATAGAGAGCCATGCAGAGAACAAATCTGCTATTGATGAAAGTGAGTACAGTGTGTAACTGCTATAATTTTTATATTAAAAATCTGTTGCCTTTTTGGTCTAATAATGGCTAAACTTCCTATGAGATGTGGCATCTGAAGCAGAGGATTGGAACATTATTGGATTGTTGTCGATAGTTTAAGTTTCTGTTTCTGACTGTAATATAGCATGTGTAATGAATAGAAAAACAGTGTAGCACAGCACTCATTTTAAAAAAGAAAAATCAACAGAGAAACATCAACTCACTGCTCTAAGAATTCACATGGGGGGAAATGGCTGAACAGTAAGGGTCTTAATTTGTCATAAAATACCACATAATTTTCTTCCTTGATGGAGTAATTGTTCTTTCTTTCCCCTTCATTTCAGACCAGCTATCCCGTTTGCACATGATCCTGAAGCCTTTCATGCTGAGAAGAATCAAGAAGGATGTGGAAAATGAACTTTCAGATAAGGTGAGAAAAAGTATTTCTCTGCAATGGGTATTACAGCTGTATCATCATAGCTCTGTTCTCTGATTTGGTTTTTGCAAACTCGTTTGTCAGTCTGCATACTTGAAATTTGACTGTAAACTTGGACCTTCACTTTCTTGCACCGCATCTCAACAATGTCATTAGATGTGAATGTAACTGAAGAACCTCTAATCACGTTTTTTCTCAGGAAGCATTTTGTTACCTGTTAAAAATGAAATATCTCTAGTCCTGGTTGACAGAAGTATCTCTAATGGCAGTGAAGGAGATTGATACAGCAATGACTTGGTGATAAACATTTCCAGTTGCCTTTGTGAAGGACTTGGCATGGGTTTAGGATTTTTTTTTTTGCTTGCCTGAACAGAAGAGAAATACATAGTGGCAACATCATGCTCTTCTCTCTTGCCAGTCTCTTAATTTCACATGGATGTTAGCAATACTAGATAATCTTGTGATCAACAGTTCCCCAGGTTTTGGCACCATTGGCTGATTGACATCTAGATTGTTCTGATGTGCTTATTGATTTCAGTGGACTTCCCACAGACACTGTTGTGGGTTCCTGACACTCCTTATCGTGGCTCTAAGTGGGGAACTGTAGGATGATAGAATTGAAGTCAGATTTTAAACTCATCAGCTACAGGTGTGATCTCAGCATCTTAAGAATCTGTCTGTTTACTTAGTCGTGTTCATGTACTTTTAAAGGTCTTTTTCTTACATCATTACACAAACCTTCCTAAACAGGCCTATCAGTTAAGTCCTTTCCAGGTTGGATCCTGAAATGCGGATCTGAATGCAACTGCCTAGAAATGTATTTTTTGAGAAGGTTATATTTTCCTCAAGGTGTGTTTCAGCTTTATGTACACTGATGTCATCATCCTTCATTTTGGAGACAGAAATGGCTAAATCTTCATTATCATTTTGCAGATTGAAATTCTCATGTACTGCCAGCAGACAAGTCGACAGAAGCTCTTGTACCAAGCTCTGAAAAATAAAATCTCTATTGATGACCTCCTTCAGTCATCAATGGGCACTACTCAGCAAGCACAGACCACCACTAGTAGTCTCATGAATCTAGTCATGCAATTTAGGAAGGTAAGGCTATTTTAAGTAATAATTTTTGAAAAGTATGATAATTCATTAGCACAGAACTAAAGTACAGCTTCTATAAAACACCACAGTAAAAAAAAATCTGGCATTGGCAAGCAAGTTTGCATGCAGTTCAGTTGTGGTTTGGATGCAGTGTAGCATGATGTAGGGTGAAAAAGAGCTTTAGCCATGTGATGCATGCATCTGCTCACTGATTTGGTTACAAAAGTTGATTTGGTTGAAGGAAGCCATTCACTTGGGAAGAAGAGGAAATAGCTGTTACGTGAATAGCATAAGGTATGATGCCATATTTAAATGTGAGAAGGTACACTAAAATAACCATGCAGTATTAAGCAGTACTAAAGTTTTAGTGATCGTTGGTCATGGTCGATTTGGAATGTAGATGCTGTATCAGACTAAGTTAATTCCTCCCAGCTTTTGACATGCTCTCTGTCTTACAGGTGTGCAATCACCCAGAGCTGTTTGAGCGACAAGAAACTTGGTCTCCATTTCACATCTCCCTAAAGCCATACCAGATTTCCAAGTTCATCTACCGTCATGGACAGATCAGGGTTTTCAACCACTCACGGGACAGGCAAGCCTATTCCACTTCCTATCCAGTCTGGCATATTTAGTACTGTTACTTACACTTACTTTATTTTTGTAAGTACTGATTAGCTCCCTTACCTGGTGTACTGTTGGCTGAGCAGTCCATTTCCTTTCAGTCATTCAGCTGTTAAACATCTGTTATAGATGCTCTTTTTTGGTGGAATCCTAATCACAGAATATCCCTTTGACTGAGTAAGAAAACCAGGAAAAGCAATTCAGAGTTGTTGATGATGATGTGTAGTAGAATTAAGCTTTAAAAGATCCTTAAAACAGGAAAAAAAACCAACAAACCTTCCCTTCAGCAAGTTTTCACATGCAAGGAAGCTGTCAGTATCTGTCTCTTGCAACATTGTATAAAGTAAGCATTTGCTAGTGCTTTGACAGCTTTTAATGCTCACGTAGGGTGAGGAGAATCTGCCCAAGTGCCGTTTGCTGTTTTCTCCAACCATGGCAAGTCTTGATTAACTGTGTCTGCATTCATTCATTTATGAGAAGTGCTAAGGGAAGAGACGAGAGAGACATGTATGAAGACAAGGTCAGCTTTTCTAGAACATATGATACAGTTCCACAAAAATGACATGTCTCGATGTCAAATTAGCAGCAATGCTTGTAGACTGATGACGCTCTCCTTCTACTGCCGTGCAATTCCAGATATTCAGAGTGCTAAAATACCATGAAGAAGTGAATGGCTACTCTGTTTCTTCTGCTGATTGTGTTATTGAACATGTTAGGTGTTAACACCTTCTTAGTGATGTTTGGTTTTGTTCCTTTCATTTTCAGGTGGTTACGGGTTTTACTTTCGCCATTTGCACCAGACCACATCCAGCAGTCTCTCTTCCACAGGAAGGGTAGGTTTACAGTCTTGGGAAGAAAGACTGGGTTGGATTTTAATATGTCTTCTTCAGGGGGAAGGTCTGAGAGGCCAGATTAATTAGTTCTCTGAAATAATCTGATCAGAATTACTAGAATTTTGTTGGTGTTTGTACATACATTTCATTTGCTCATAGGAAAGGATGGAAAGCAGCTGGAAGAATCTGTGGATAACTTGTCATTTAGTCACTGCTTAATCCTAGTGCAATATCTTAATTCGGTCTGTCTTGTTTTAACTTGCTTCAAGAGATTAGTGCTGCCTTTTTAGTCTAATGTGAATTTTTCACAGATTCAATTCTAACAAATCTTGGATTAATTTCAGTACATTCTGTGTTGTATCTTAAAATGCCAACTTTCTTTCAACTAGAAACTAGATGAAATGCAATTGACCCAGAATCATTGACCCATGTCAATGAGCAAAAATCCCAGAAAAGCTGCTGATATTGACAGATACAATTTATTATAGATGATTGAATATTTTTCCTACAAGAGCTAATTAGATCACTTAGCTACTGGGATGGGAAAATCTTCAGAAGTCTAAAGCACGAGAGATACTGGCTGCATTGCTATGCCGAAATCTGTTAGCGAGGACCTCTCCAGCTGGTGTTGGGGCTATGCAGTGCACATGGATGGGCCTGCAAGGCTTCCCTACCAATTCCTGCATCTCCTTCTAACCCATTTGATTTTCTGGATGAGAGGGAGCATGTGAGACAGGCATCCTGAGGTATGCATGTTCTGGTCAGCTGTCTGGAAGATATTTGTTCAAATTTGCAAATATGCACACTGCCTATTGATTCATAAGTGAAACAAATGTCCTTACTGGCTGCACTGGGACATAGAATGTATTACTCTCTGTTGGTAAGTTCCCTTCTCTTGCCCACACTGGAAAATGAGCTGGAATGTGGAGTCAGGCAGCAGAGATTCAAATTGAATTTTCAGTATTTCTAAAAGGTCGAGGTTAAATTAGGATCTCCTGTCTACTTATCTAGATTTGTCATGTGTCATAGAATTAGTATCCTGAATCACAGTATCCTGAATTGATGAAGTAAATTTATTTTTCAGCTATTAGTATCTGTGAACAGGTTGGTCTAACTTCAGTATTTCTGTGACCTAGGCATCAATGAAGAAAGCTGTTTTTCTTTCCTCCGGTTTATTGATGTCTCTCCAGCAGAAATGGCAAACCTTATGAATCAGGGACATTTAGCCAGGTGAGGACAACCTTTTTTTTTTTTTTTTTTTTTTTGTTTGTTTTCCTCTTTTAGTAATTACAGGAAAAGTACAGATGATGTCAGTCATTCCTCTCAAAACCTGCATTTTCTATGCCTCCTAATATTATAATTTCTCTATCATTATCTAATACTAGAACAACTTTTAGAGTGTTCCTCCAGGTATAGGGCACCATTATGCAACACAGTTTTTATGCCCCTGTCACAAGAAACCCTGTGTTACAAAGAATTGACATTGTAAATACACAAGATGGTCAAAGGGCAAAAGGAGAGTTTGCTTAGGGTCACGCTGCAGGTTGCTGGTGCACAAAATCCAAACTTTGGAAGGCCAGTTCAATGCAATTCTTACCAGTTGCACTTGAGCATATGTTTTAAACACACGTGGAATAACCTTGTGCTGTGGTAGTTGCTCCTGAGCCATACTGCCTACTTTCCACATGTCTTGTTTCTAATATGGAATGGAATTCTGAAGCACAGGCTTAGATTTATAGTGTCAGCTGTATAATCTTGAAAGGAAAGGTGATCTTTTTAAGTTACAGTGTACTCTCTAAAGGACTCCGAGTCAAGTTAATAGCGACTATAAGAAATTTTAGACTAAAAGTAATTCTTTATTAATAAATAGAGATGTTTTGCTTTAGGATTTTGTAAGTGGAATATTGTTTTTTTGTTCTGGTTATTTTGAATTACTGTTTGAATGACTGCACTTCAGTAACGTAATTCAGATTTCTCTTGATGTGTTTCAACGGTATTCATGATAAAGTCTGCATTCATTATACAGTTTGTTATAATTCGTATGTAGAGTAATTTACAAATAAGTGCAATTTTATATAGTAATGGCTAGCTGGAGCTTAATCATTTTAGATTAAGTGCTTCAAAGTATATCCTGACATAATCACTTAGATTGAGTTAAGCCACCTTAGAAAAGATTGAAATAAGAATAATTTGAAGGTGTCTAGCAGAAATTATTTTCTTTAAGCCAGGATGCTGTAAGCCTGATAGTCTAAAAAAATTCCCCAGTTCTGTCAAATAGAGTTATGTTGTAAATATATTCAAGCCTTTCTTTTACAAAGCAGTAAATAAATGCATCTCCTGTGTTTTGTTTCAGATGGTTAGCTCTTTTCCTGTCTCTGAAAGCATCCTACAGGCTCCATCACATGCGCTCCTGGATGGAGACTGAGGAGGACAAAGAGCAGGGGTCTTGTTTTCTGACGAACAGGGATTTCTTGCTTGATGTAAATTTCCCGCTATCTTTCCCTAACTTGCACAGCTGCACTTTGCTGCAGGTAAGCAAAAATTCTGTGATCTGGAGACAGCAGCAATTCCTCATGAGTGAGAAATGGTGAAAGCCGCCTTATGAAACAGGGAAAATAAACTTGGAAATGGGATGATGATACTGTCTGCTTTTTTAGATGCAGTTAAGAGACTTTAGAGTGCTGAACAGAAAAATTGTTTAACCCCTGTCTCCTTCCCATGTGGCATTACATTTCAAAACTTGCTATAATGAATAAATCAGCTGATTTAGAAGACTTCAAATATTACTGGAGCACCAAAAGCAGCTACAGGAGCAACAGAACTAGACTCATGATTTGTCAGGGATAGACTCTATATGTAAGCTTAAGAGTTTCATAATGTTTTTTATCTGTAAAATACTCATTTTCTGGCTGAAACTATTCTTTTCATGTAAAATTCAATACATTCTTGCAGCAGGTAGGGAAAACAGAGACCAGCCTGACAGTGTTTTATAGCTGGTGGACAAGCAATTTCAGTAGTGTGTTTCTACTCTGATATTTGTTTCTGCTGCTGTCTGGTAGATCCAGATGTATTCAAAGTACTGTGTAATGCAAGATCATTTTTGTTAATCTTTGACCTAGGATATGTGTGAAGATTTTGCCTTTTTATGACTAAATTGCTGTTGATTTCCTGAGTTAGATTAAGGCTCCATTGATTCAGTTCACTGGGAAATAAGTTCACAGAAGTGTTAGCATGGAGTCAGGAAAGCATCTAGGGCAGTTAGCAGATATGCAGTAAAAAAAAATCTTTTCTGAAACAGTGAGACTGTGCCAAGTTTCTCTAGGGAATATTGCTTCTGCTCCTGAGTCTGGAAGGGGAAAGGAGATAGCCAGAATTCAATTGAATATTGTGTAGAGGAAGTTGAAATTGAAGACGCGTAAGCAGTAGGAAACCAACCTTGGACTTGGTGTCATGTTTTGCAGCGTTAACAGCAAAGCCAAGAAAATGAGTCCTCCTAGTTATCAAACAAAGAGTCAGCCAAGTGAATGTGTGCCTGTTAACTCTGGCTGTGCTGGTATTTCAATAGCCTGTGTTTCTGTGTCTAGCTTGATAAAATGTCTGTGCTATACAAATTTGATTTCAGTTAGGTTTTTTTGAGATTACAGTCAGCTGTTTCTATAGTGACTGCAATGCTTATCTCTGAGACTGTACTGTAGCTCTGTCCTCTTGTTGGTATGGTTAAGGAGAAGTTGTGTGGTGGTGTAATTGTGGCAGTAAAGAAGATGCTATCAGAAGCTGTGTGCACTTAGAGAAGGTAGCATTCATTTTTACATATGTACAAAGACAATCTAAGTCCTTACATAGCCCTTGGTTTATTATGTATGAATATCAAAATGAAAATCATTAAGTTTTCTAAAGGACAGAAGATGAATTAAGAGTATAGCTTTTAAATATAACATGTGGAATATGCATGTGTAGGTTTTAATATTAACAGTTAAATGTAAAGCATTTGGATAGGCTATAGACCCACCTGTACCACAGTCCAGCAAGATTTAAACATGAATTTGGTTTCTCCAAATAATTTCTATTCTTTGAGGCTGTCAGTGCTTGTGTCCTAGGGGCTCCCACGGCTGTTGACTGTGTGTAACTAGTGATTGTTGCAAGTAATACGTTCAATACAAAAACCAGCCAGCTGAGGAGCAGCGTTCATCAGTGTGTGCAATACAGTGCATTTGTGATAACCAGAGTAAATCTAAAGGAAGAATAGCCCTGCAGTTATGACAGATATTTTAAAGCTGTTTTCTAACCTGCCTTTAGACAAATTATCACCTGAAGTAACTTTAAAGTAAGCTGTATTTAAAGAATTTTGTTTGCAGATCTTAATTTAGAACACCTTAAAAAAAAAAAAAAAAGGATTGTTGGGGAGTGCAAAACCTAAAGGAGAATTGAAAAACAAGCTGCCCTTTTTACATGCCTGTCTTTTAGTGCTGCACATTATTGTGAGTGAAAATGAACTAACTTTTTCCTTAGCCCAAACTGGAGAAGCTTTTAAAGTAACATTCCCCGAGGCTTCCTCTTGGGCTTCATAAGATAGTAACATAGGGAGTGAGGAGAGCGAGAAAAAGGAGAAAGGAATGTTGGGAGTCAGGAGGGTGAGAAAAGAGGAAAAAGGAAATGGTAAAAATCTGGAAAGGCTTTTCTTAACTGCTCAGATCAGCATTTCTGATGTAGGAGACCAAGTATGAAAATAAGTCAGTAGAAAAAGAAACACATTTATTTTTAATGGATATTTCTGAAATTGAAGTGACATCTGTCTAAAGATAGTATGTGTTTCATCGTGTAAATACAGAAATTGTTTGCAGAGTGTGAGGTCTCTTCATAGCCCCTGCTCAATGCCTCCACATGTATTAATTTGTATGCATTAAATTAATATAAAATCTACTCTGTTTACATGAACCCTTTTCTCCTTTCCTTTCGTAATTTTATTTCTGTTAAAAAAAAATTAGGAGTGTTAATGAGCTTAAAATGCTGGTAGCAATCACCCCTATTTATGTGCAACTCCATTTGCAGTGTAGGAGAGCTTCTTTCAAGACTTACTTTGGATTGCATAGTTGTAGTAGATGTGTACATTCATGGGTTTTAACAGTCTTCCTCTTTGGTTTTTGGCTTTGTTGTACTAAAGTATGTGAGCCATTTCAGGCTGTGTTCAGTTCTGTAACTTTACCCAGTCTTTTCCATGTGTGTGGTTGATGGGAAGCTGATGGGTTGATGGATTTCCACTGTCCCTGTTATATCTGGTGACTGCTCCATTCATGAATACTTAACAGCTGCATATGTCAGAATTCAGAGGGCTGTTTCTTAATGTGACCTGCTCATAGTTTGTACACAGGAATCTAGCACTCAAAGGCAGATTAATGCCTGAGTACAAATATTTTTCTCTTATTTTGAATTCCTTCTTGAAGCTTTATTTATGTTTCCTCCTAGGTACTTCAATTGCCCTAAAGTCATCTTAAATGGGTCCTTGATATTGTTTTCCAAAAGAGAATTAAGTAACAAACTTGCATAGGTTTGGAATTACAGTTAACTTCCTCTCTATCCATTTCTTGTATTCTGACTTTCCAGGAAATAATTACCAAACTCCTGTATTGACCAGGGCCACGATCAGTATGTCAGTGCTTGCTGTCATAAGACTTATTGGAAAGCTCTTGTGACTGCCTGCCATGATGATTCTTCTTCATAAAATCAGCTGTACTCCCAGGGGTGGGGAAGAGAGAGGCTTTAAGCTAAAGCAGTTGTTCACTCTTCCCCCTTTAACTCTTGTTGTCCTTTCTTTACTCTCAGCTGCAGAACCCTGCGTCTGCTTATGCAGGCATACCTCAGCACATCTTTCTGTGAGCTAGCTGCAGAATACCTTGTATTTTCATGGCTGTTGAATTTTTTGTTTGATCAGATGTGTAGCCAAAGAGGCTTCTGGAGAGGAGAGAGAACTAGCACAGGAAGTGGTACAAATATATCATGGAAAAGGACTCGCACTTTTCAGCAGCAATGTTGGTGCTCTGTTGCCACTGTTTCTGGTTCTCAGATGAGTAAGCCAGCACTCATATCCATTGTCCACAGGCATGTATTCCCAACCCTGTGATTCCCACACTGCTGTTTTACCAGGTGGTGAAGCATGTCACAGAACTTACTTGGAGCAGCAGGGCAAGGGTTTGTTTTCATTTTGATCAGCGTCTTAATGAATACAGACAGCTAGGCCAGCAAGAAGAGGCTCTGTGGGGACTGGAGTAAACATGTGAAGCAGTTGTTGCTTAAGTCAGCATTACTGATTAAGAGTTGTCAGCTGATTAAGAGCCTGTTTTTGGGATCACTTCACATTATCCAGTGTGGGCCAAGCTTTGGCCTGTGCTTTTTAGCTCTGCTGAGTGTCAGTGAAAGACTATTGTCAGCTTTTGGCTCTCACCTTTTATGTATAGAGGAGGAAATGTTCAGTCAGAGTATGAACTTTATTTTTGCCAGCTCCTGCCGATGAGTCTTGCTGGCAGCCCAAAGACATGCCTGGGGGTAGGGTTGAGTGCAGGTAGTGCTGGCATGTGTGTACAGTCAGACTGTTTTCCCCTCTTGTCAGCAGGTTCCAAATGATATGTGCTTGCCATCTATGGAAATAAAAAGGCCCAGAATGCATGATCCATAATAGACTCCTGCTGTGGGTGTTTTCTAGCATTTTTTGACATACATAGAACGCATATATCCAGTGTATGACATGCTATACAGGGTGTCTGCTTCTCACATGCTCTTTGGATGTTTACAACTTCAGATACTGGGATTTCAGAAAATTGTGAGGCTCTGTAAAGTAAAAGTAGCATCCTATTAATTTTGGTGCATTAGGGACTGGGGCGGAAAAATACAAAAACTTGAGATCCTATTTACCTTTTACTTAAGTGAACTTAAGTGCTGGAATTGCCAGGAGGGCACATCCTATGGTCCTATGGCACTGAGAGGTATACCTCCTAATGCTTCTAAAATTATTGCTAGCTTCCTATTGTGGGCAGAAGTATGCTCTGCATACTACAGGAAACAAATATAATATGGAACTATTGATCTCTATGGATATAGATGAGTCAGAATTAAAGCTCAGTGGCAGAAGTGGCTTAGTCTGTAAAAAGTTTATTTCATTGTTTGCAGATACTGCAGATATTTACAGTAAAAAAGAAGCTATACATGATGCAAACAAAGAAAATCTAATTTTTTATTTTTGTGTAGAGCTGAACATCTTCAAAGAGCTTTCCTTTCTTTAAAATGTACTGCTATCTGACTGTCCCCACTTCTGAATCAGTATATTTTTCTGTATCAAAAGGACATTTTGGCAAATTCCAGGTTTTAAACATGGGTTTGTTCATGTGTGTAACCCTGCTAGCACTTCTAAAAGTCTTCAGGATAAAATCACCAGGATAAAATTTAGAGCCCTTTAGCACAGGAAAGAAGAAAAAGGTTGGAAAAGATGCAAGTCTAAAAATACCAATCCAGCCTTGTTTCAATTCTTAATTTTTTTTTTCTCTCGCAAAATTTCATGTGAATTCCAAGCAGATACATGAGTAGCTAGAAAGTTTTTAGCTAGTAGCTAAAACACGGTGAGGGTCAGATGTACTGGAATAGTACTTCCTTCATTAGAGAAGCTAAAGTCAAAAGGTTCAAAGGCAGAAAAACTTGTTTGTGGTTCCAGCTGAGCATCAAGACAAGTATTGATATGATCTCTTCTGATTTCAGCCATTTCTGGATTTGAATGTTCTGATAATTGCACAAAGATTCTTCACATATTCACCGGAGGAGATGTATATAGTTTTCCTTATTCTAAGAGAAATACATATGGAATGTACTTTGTCTATCCTCCTCATGGGTGGATATAAAATTTGAGAGAAGTATTTCTTGACAGACATAGTAACTTCTTAATTATGTTTTCAGAACCTCGTGTTCAGCAGCCACTGTAAAGCAGTTACTGGCTATTCAGACCATGTCATATATAGAAGGAGATCAGCTACCTCATGTGTACGATGCTGCCAGGTGACGGAGCTGCCGTCCTTCCTGTGCATAGCCAGTCCACGGGTAAGTCCAAGTAAAGTTGTAAATTATGTATTTTCTATTGTGTTTTAAACCTTGACAGAACTGTGCCTTAGGAACACAATGATATATGACTTTCTTTTGATTGGGTAAAACTGTTGTAAGGATATCCTTTTGCTACGGTATTCAATAGTGGGTTTTTTCATAGGGGAAGTGACTGCAGTGTGTACTGAGGGGAAAAGGAAAGTTGTAAGATGCAGCCACGAGGAGTTGGTCTGAGATTTCACTTTCTCTCTTAATACCTAAAGCAATTATAGAAGAGATATTAAAATAAATTACTAATTGATAATCCAAGGGGGAGATTCAGGTATAATATGAACAGAATGAGGTGATTGTTTGGTCAACTCTGATAACAAAAAAAGGGCTGGGAAGCAATGCTTTTTTGAAAAGGATGTTTGTCTCTTACACTCCAGAGGGGAAACACCAAATTGCAGTATATAAGGATTACTCAAGTTGGCATTTTCTAGGTCTTTTGGATGTTATGTGCTACTGCATAGGGTTGTCCATCATATATTAAATGAATTTTGAAATTAATTTGAATGAAGTTAAGTATCCTGGGCTGACACATGAGACCTTCATTAGGTCAATGGTTATTGCATTCCATATTGTTGGATCTTGACAAAACTGGATACAATTTTATTACCAGACCATCCAGATGCTATAGTCTTTAGTCACTGTTGAAATTTTTGCTGTAGGCCTCATCAGATGAAGTGCAATTATACTTTTGCATCTGGAGAAGGGTGGATGACAAGCAGGACCTCACAAATGCAAGCTCATTACCTACCTGCTGCTGCTTAAGCTGAATTTATCTGTGTCAGCAGCTCTAGGGGCTGGGAATCCAGCTGAACTGCTCAAATTCACATGTTACCTCCCCATTACAGTGTACTGCCTCACTGGAGAACCAAAGGTTATTCTGAGAGTAAATTGTGAAAATCACTTAACCTTCAGATGCCTTTGATTTCTCCCTCTTTGTACCTAAAGTTGCACCACGAATGAAGAATATGCTGAATTGCTCCCCTACAGGAGAAAGGGTGGAGAGGGGCATAGAAGGCTACAAATGAAGGGAAAGGCAAAAGGAAATAGTATCTGACATTTATTCTAGTGAATAAAAGTTATTTGTTTTGCTTTGGCTGGGATATAAAATTGATGAAGTGTGGACATGGCTTTTTGTTTCTAAGAGTACAAAGACTTAATTTTATGCTTGTTAGAAGCTTCTTCCAGGAGTGTAGAAGACCTGAAAGAGCAGAAAGAGTACATATGTTCCCAGAAACTATAGTTTTCTGTTGTTGTTTGACCTGTGATGAATTTTGAGAAGTCAGTGGAGCAAATGATAGAAATAGGAGTGTATGTTTATGAGGCATTTGAGGGAGGGAGTCAGTCTTTCTATGCAGGCAGTTTTCATGAGTACAGTCAGGTCTCAATCATAAAAAGTGTAGCTTGAAGGATGGATGTTGCATTGCCATTAAGAAGCTAATTAATTAAATTTTGAGTAATACTGTTTGGTTTAATTTCCAGACTGGAATATTGTGTGAAGTAATTTTGGTCATCTCACAATGTCTGAAAGGTTAACTTTGCATGGAGATAAATGCAGGAAGCATGTTACAATTGCCTTAGCTAAACTAAGTTGTTTAATTTAGGGGGGAAATGCATTCATACATCCCTATCACTGTATTTTTGATGTATTTCTGAACCATGGCTCTTACAATCAATCAGTTTGACAGTAATGTGTTGACAGAGGAGGGTTTAGTTCTAAGGATTGCTCTTTTGTTATGAGTAAAACCACAAAAACAAACCTGTGAGGAAAAGAAACTGAAAAAAATGCACCATGATGAAATAAAGAGGAGAGTGAAGAAACTTGAATGAAAGATTTTTTCTGGGGGGGTGGAACTGTTTCAGAAAAGTGTTATTTTCTTTTGTAAGGGCATGTGAAAGATTCAGGACTTTAACCTAGAAATATGTGTCTGCATTCTAAAAAAACAAAAGGAACTGATGGTAAAGGTACTCTTTGGTCCTCAAAGGTCAGTGAGTTTTGCACAGGATATGTAGGAAGACTAGTTCTTGTTAATTTAGAAATAGCACTGAGGCATACAGAGTTTGTCTCAAGATTGTCTCCTATTAGTTCTTCCCTTGGTTGAGGTGTTAAATGAAACATGGCTTATAGAATCTTCTGACTTTGTTTGTCTTGTAAAGATCCTGGGGTACACATCTGTGTATTCTTTTCAGTAGATAAGATGTGTTTATGTGTCAGAAGTTAGTCTGTTCTGTTTTGTGTATAGTGGCTGCCTGTCCTAGGAGAGGAAAATCTAGGTCTTGGAAATCAGTATGGCAAGTTGTCTGTGCTCGAAAAGAGTATTTGTTCCAGTTTGTTCGGTGTAGAAATGTGAACTGAAACGTGATGGTGAATAGTGTCTCTTAAACAACCTAAGTCTGTACCATCATTTGTGGTTTATAGCAGTGTTCAGGTGACAGAACTTGCTTGCATTTTGAATTTTTTGTATTTTGAAAGAGGTTTTGCCCTTTCTCTCAAAGGTCAAACATATGCTTTGACTGCAGGTGGCAGTACAGGGTAGCAGCAACTCTAAGAGCATCTTTTAGGTAGAGGAAATGTGTTTAAAGTCTTAACCCAGCCCATTTCACTTTGCAATGCTTTGTGTGACTGTGTGTAAAACCCATAGACAGGTTTTAAAATAGCTCTTTGCATCCTGAGATACAATGGCTTTACCATTATTGCAAAGATTGTGTGTGCTTTTTTGTTTTTTGGTGGTTTTTGGTGGTGGTTTTTTTTTTTGTACTACAGCTGTGGTCATTAGTCTGGTTTAACATTTGTTTACCCCTTGTAAAGAGAAGTCACTGAGATTAATTTATTCTTATGAGAAGAGCTCCTGTAAGACTGGTATGGGCCACAGTTCCAGCTAGGAAACCTTGCTTAATACCTGTTACTTTGAGTTAGCTGACAAATATTCAGAGGGGTACAGCCAACATCTAAGATACCAGGCAGTCCTGAGGTATGAGTTGCTCTCTTTACCTTACAGTTCTAAAGTACAGTGTTTAAAACTGGTGATAATTAAACTATCTATTGCTTATCATTTAGATAAGCTGTTAAAATATTTTCATTTGCATGATACAAGGTTGTATATATTATTCTCAATACATAGCAGTTTCGTCACACTAGAGTAACCTGGAACAAAAATTTAAACCCCCTTCAAATTCAGAAGCTTTTCATCCCCAAAACAAAGATGGTTTTTCTATTGTGTTTAATGTTTCAGATGTCCCATTATCACCCTAATTCCCACCCCATCTCAGTTTTGCAGGAAGTCCACTGCTTACTGTTCACCATGAAAACCTATAGGCTCCTGTACTGTTTCTTCCCATGCAGCCCCACTTACCTCTTTTAGATGTGAAAACTCTCACAATCTGGATTTTCTCTGTTGTTCATTTTTGTTACATCGCTTTTCATATACCTGAAGGAAATGTAACTTTGCACACTGTTAGGATTCATGACAATGTTTTTAACTGTACATGGGGGATTTTTTTGATTGTACTTCTGAAATAAAAGCAGTGACTTCTAAATTAATTATGCATTTGCTTCTTACATTGGTGAGGAAATTGTCTGGCATTTCAAATTTCTCTGTTACTAGCCTGTACTGTAAGGTTGTCTTAATAGGAAAATTTTTTTTTTCATTTCTATGTGAGTTTATAACACATTATTAAGTCTTCAGATAGTATGCAAAAGCTTCTACTAGCTTTCTTTTATAAACTTGGTTATAAATAGTTTTTGTAAACACCCCAGAATGTTTTTCCAAAACAGATTTACATTCAAAAAAGGTAGAAAGAAGTTGGTAATTTTCTTTCCTTTTTTTCTTCTTTTTTTCTTTTTTTTTTTTTTTAATTTTTGTGCTAGACAGTGAACTGTTTTGCATTCATATTTGTGTTAGTGTTGTAATTGTGTTTACTTTGGATCATGGTATTTAACTCCTGGTGAAGTATCTGAAGTTAAATCCAGCAGAGCAATCTGTCCTGCTGTGTACCATGGCTCTGTGCCGCTTTTGGTTGTTGTCCTTTACCGTTGTAAGGGAGAGATAAGAGAAAGCTGCAGATTTTACAAAATCCAGCCTTGGCTGCTGGAGCAGAGTTTTTCTTGTGCACCTTGCAGCCATTGGCATTCAGCTGTTTGGCTCATGTGCACCTTCCACTCTGTACAGATTTGGGTGGATGGGGCAGAAGAGGGGGGAGTTAAACTGATGGAGCTGTTCCAGAACAGCTCACATGGCATGAAATCGCACTTCCCGTGTTTGCAACACTGCTCTGTCCAGCTGGGTTGTATATACTGAAACAGGTAATAGGGCATAGGATTCATAGAATGCCACAAGAAAAAGAGCACCACTTCTGTGGTCACTTTGTTCAAAGCAGTTGTAAAGCCCAAGAAATATGCTGTTCTTTTTTTATCCCTTTCTAATTTAAGAATTTCTCTAGTTTTGAATTATCACATGAATTTGTGTTAAGGACAATATGTGTAATTTCTGCTAAGGAGATAAATACTTGATTATGAAGGGTGGAACTAAACATAAATAAATAAAATCTTGGCAAAAGGAGAGATAGAGCAAGGATAGTACTCTTCTAGCTTTGCTATCAGTTGTGTAGCAGTTTACACAAAGCATAGTTTATCAAAAGGCAGTTTTTCTGTGCCTGATGATTCATATGGTGTTTTTTGTGGTGTGGAGAGATGTTGCGTCTTTGCTTTGTTTAAGCCCAACCAAAGATTGTTTTCTGTTTCTACATTTCATAATGACTTGACTTTTAAACTTTGATCGCGTGGTAAGGTGCTTAAATTGGGGATTTGGCGACAGGGAGAAATGTGAACAATAATATTGATTATTATTATTTTACTTGTAGGTAACAGCTGTGCCACTGGAATTCTACTGCAATGACAGAAGTGCAGAATACGAGCGCAGGGCACTAAGGGAAGGAGGAAGTGTTGAAGCAAAGCAGTGTGTACTCCATGGATCTCCTGAGCTAGCAGCTGACTGGCTGAAACAGTGCTCTCAGTTCTTCCCAGAGCATCCAGGAGGACTGTTAGGGATCAGGCCTCAGAATGGCTGGTCTTTTATCAGGATACCAGGTAGGTTTGGAAGTTGTAGTGGAATGGAGATGAGATAAGTAAGGACATCTGTTATTTGGTGGTAATTTATGCTTGGTGGTGGTCTTTTTGAAAGGTTGGGTGTAGTTGTGTGCTTGTTTTTCCTTCTGAGTGAAAGTTAACCCTGGTACCTTAAAATACCATGATTTTGCATACTCTGTCTGAAGTAAATCTTCGATGGCTACCAAAGAACTATAATACAGGTTTTTCTAATGCTTACAAACCTCTCTTTACATGTCAGTCCTCCAAAGGATTGTAAAGAGGTAGACTTGCTTACTAGAGCAGTCTGCTCTCACAACCAAATACCATTTTGAGGTTGGAGATAGGAAGATGGCATGAAAAGTTAAGAGACATACCTTGCCTCTAAGGTGTTGGAAGAGCTTCATATTGTCATAGAAAATCTTTTTATTGGTCTTCCTAGTAAAAAGGTTAAAATTACTTGTAGCCGTCTACCATGAGAAGGATTGGTTTGAGGACCAAGTTTTAGAGGAAATTGTCCTGGAAAATAAGGTATGAGGGATTTACTGTATTTTAATTGAAATAAAGACTTATTCATATTTTCTTATAAAGTGGGAAAAGAGTACCAGTGTGCCAGTAAAATAAATGCACTTTGTATTTTCTTGGAATTAGACTAAAGTAATCCAAGATCTCATAGGGTTTGATTGCCAGTACTGTGGTGACTTTCATGGGCCAGACATGCTCTAGCTGTCAGAACACAGTCCTGAGCAGCAAGCAGAAAGTTCTAGAGATCTGATAGATAGCCAAGAGGAAAAACAGCTTACACTGCCAGATGCAAAGTTATTCCCAGACCCTTTTGGGTCAAGGATGTTTGGCAGGGGAAGTTAGTACTGTAAAGGGAAAATGGCCTTTTGCTTGCTACAGTCTGGTTTAAGAAGGTACCTTTTGAAGTGTTTGAAGTCATTTGAAACACATGCACATCTGTACCTAAGTAATGGAGAAACCATTTTTCATGAACTTGCACTGGATTAATAGTCATAGTTGATGATTTTATAATTTCTTCAGGAATTCTCTTAATTGTTTGCCAGTTATTTGGAAAAAGAAAATTAATATCTGTAGCAGAAAAGTGGGAAGTATTGAAGAGAGAAATTAAATTAAGATAGAAGACACGGATGGAGAAATGCAGAAAAGTAGCCAATGCAGGAAAGAGACAGGGCTGCGTTCTCTTGAAAGACTTCCATTTTAAGCTGGGGATTTTATCAGCAAAAAAATTTAGAGGAATAAAGGTAGGGTACAGGAAGCTTTCAGGAGTGAAAGAATAGGTGCAAGGTTAGGGACATTGTTGTCAAAGCACAACAGAATCTGGTTGAGAAGGAGGTTGGAATGAGTGTGTTACATAAAGCTGGCTTAATTTAGGAAGAGTTGGACCTAGAAGTGGAGTAAAATAGTAGTTTTGTACAGCTGTGTTTTAATTAAGTGGAAAAGAGCAGTCAAACCTAAACTTACTTGAAGAGGAGAGGGCACACACCACAACAGGACAGCTGTGTTCATAGGTGCAGAAGCCTTACAGAAGGCACAGTGCCTTACAGAACGTGAGTGATGTGCTGAAGGAGCCATTTGCAAGGCTAAAGTCTAGCAACTGTCAAATGGTATAGTTGCTGTGAAGGTCTGTAGCAAATAGGTGACAAGAAGGGGGACACCTCTCTCTCCTAAACCCTGATCTATCCTCTCCCAGACTCAGCGTTCCCAGTACCCTGGCAGCAGGCTCAGCTGTGATCACTGTGGGAATCTCTTGAGGTTTTTCCTGTTCTTTGAAAGAAAAATGGTCCTGGATTAAATGGCAGGAAGTGTCTGAGTCCTTTTAGTATCGATAAAAAGCACTGGCCTCACTGGCTGTTTACTGTGAGAGCCAGCTAGCTCCTCACTGACCCCATTGTGCCGTCAGGAGGGGAACCAGGGGTGTCAACTGGAACCCACGCTTTATCTCTCTTTCCTCTGCTTTTTGCATGTCCAGAGGCACTTTTTCTCATTCTCCAGAGAGCGCTGAGCCCAGCTACAGTCATCAGCCAGAGCTCCTGACAAAGGTTATTCTGAGTCATAATCATTTGTAACTATTCTTCCCAGGCCCACTGTATCCCCTTGTACATAATTTATGTCCATATCCTAGCATGGCTGGAGGCAGTTGGGTTTGGGTTTTTTTCAGGCTGAAAGCCATTTGGTCTGGTTCCTTTTTCTTGTTTATTTCATGCAGCACTGAAGGACCTAAAAAACGTGTCCTAGGGAGAGCTTTTTGACAGTGTAGTACAGGACCCCTATCTCCTGACTGAGTTACAGTTTTAAAAGTTCCTTTAAAAAAAACTCAAAACCCAAAGAATTTGTCATTTGAAGTTGTTGCTGATCTTTAAAAGTAAAGAACTGCAAATATTGGAAATCCCCTTTAAAAAAGTAATAGTTTGTCTTTTTCTTCTCCTAGGTAAGAGAAAATTAGAAATAGAAGTGAGAGAAACTATTGAGAGGTGGAAGACACAGGGTTTTTTCTCTTTTGAATAATTTTGGTGTTTTCTGAAGATAGCATAAGTAAAGTAAATTTTCTGTTACCATTTTCCAGAGTTTGTTGTTTGAAGCACTAGGTGGCAGGCTTTCAGCATGGAAAAATACTTGATCTTGGAAAACACAATGGCATCAGGATAACATGCTTAAAGGTGCCAGGTTAAGGACAAATTATTTTCTCTTCCAGAGATGATAAATCTTTTTTTTTTTGCAGTACTGCTTTGCTCTCCTAAAAAAACCTCAAAAACCGGTGCAGTCTGCTCTGCTGCTAGATATTGGATGGCTTATGAAGTGTTAACAAGTTGCTAACTTTTCATATCATCTGCAAATAAATTCTTTACTTATAATTTGCATTTCAGTGTGGTTTAAAAATAGTAGCTTACACAATGGAAACCTCAGAAGCCAGCAGCAAAGGACATGCATCATTTCCAGTTAGCAAAGCTTAATTCTACCTATTTATGCCTTTGTGAGAAAGACAGTATTTTGCTTTTGGAAACTCGCTAATATGTTAATCTGATCCTGTCAACACTGACTTTTGAACAGACCCTGTTGGCTCTCTGAGTTTTCTTCTAGTTAGATAACTTTTGGTTAATAATCGTGTTAGTTTGTCACATATATCTAGACTTTTCATGTAGCTTCACTCAATGTAATTTGTTCTGAAATAGCAAGCTGACCGGTTAAAATGAAAGCAGAATGTCATGGCTGTATTTATAATTAAAGGAAATAATAACATTTTGTATAAAGAGTAAACACTGCTGTTGTACAGAGGTTTTGACTTCCATAGGTGTATTTGAAAACCAACTAGCTGTAAGTCATTTATTTCCATTTTGCTTAATTGCCTAAGTTGAAAATTTGGTTTTCCTTAGAAGAACACATGAAGCTATTAATGATTTATATGTAATTGAGACTGAATGCTGTTCTAGAGATGAATGCATCATTATACATTATGTTGCACTTAGAACAAATGCCAGCCTGATGTGTGGACTTGAGTTTTCCTTACAGTATTTCCTTAGCTCAGCTCTCCAGTTAATGGATTCCCTAAGGTAGTTGCTAACAGTTCAAGCAGTGATGTGGTACTTGCTCCAAGCAGAGCAAGATCATCACTGCCAAAAGGAAGAGCAAAGGGGGGGAAAAAACAGTCGCTGTCTAGATAGGCAGACAAGCAAGAAAGAGCAGACCTGCCTTGTCTTGGGTTCTCAGCTAGTGAATTGCAGGTGCATGGCTCTAAAATTACCATAGGAGAGAACATGCACAGCACTGATTTACAGAGGAAGTGGAATAGCTAATTATTTTAAACCATATGGAAACTCACAATTTTTTGAATTTCAGACAGAAGACAGTTGGTTGCATATTCTGATGTAGATTCCAGCATCAAGTCCATTATTTATATTTAAGCTAAAGATACTTTTGAAAGAGAGCAAATGCATTTGTGCTTTTCTCAGCAAGCCCGTAGCGTACTTGCAGGAATCGCTTACTGCTCTGCCACATCACTGCACACCTACCACATCACTTTGGTACTCATGGACTGTGTTTCCTGCTGTGCTTGTAAGATCTTTTTAGGAGTGCTGTTATGTGATCTGTGCTACTCTCTTCTACAAGTATGAACCTGCTTTTGGTTATATTAAAATGCATGGGGTCAGATGAAAGATTTAATTTTGTATATAACTTTTTTTTTTTAATTGGGAAGTTGGGCAAGACAGTTAACTGCCTTACAGAAAGCTGAATTTTCTTCTGCCCATGAGTTAATTCATTCTGTGAAGCAGGAAATGTGCAAAAGTGTTACCTGCTAGATATTAGAGAACCTTACCTGCTTGGCATGTTGAAAATACTTGGGTTCTGTACTAGCCTGCACCATCTGCAGTTGTCAGCTTTCCGTTTTGGCTGTAAACCTAAGACATCCAGAAGAATAGAGAATCATCAATGGCCTTTCCAACAGATAATTTTTTGGAAGAAAATTTCTCTTCATCCTCTTTCAACAGTAATGTATTGTTTACTGAAGTTTATGTACAGAATGTACAAACAGGAAGATCTCCTTCCTGAAAAATACTTCATGAACAGTGCTGAAATAGAGAGGACATGAAGTATAAAATCTGAAGTGACTGAAAAGATTGCCATCTGGAAGCATTTCTTAAACAAAACAAAAGGGGAAAAAAAAAGGAGAGGGCAGGGAAGAACAAGGCACTGCTGTGAGGGGATTGTTGTTTTACAATGACCTAGACAGCTGTTCTTCTTTTCTGGAAAGGTGAGGGGTTTGATCTGCAGAGGATAAGTGTAAAGCTCAGCAGCAGGTAGCAGCAAATGTGCAAAGGACAGCATTTTCGTGTGTGAAGTGGAAAATATTTCTTCAAGTGTCAAGGCATATAGTGCTTGTTGATCTGGTCAGAATAAAACCTTAGCTGAGGGATATGGCTGTCCAAAAAAAGGATTGAGCCTATACTTGAGATCAGTCTGTAATGAGATTCTGCCACATAGAGCATATACATATGCTCCTATCCCTGCAAACAAAACTTGTTCTGATTTTAAGTGTCAGCCAGAAGGGATGTTGCAGTTCCTTCCCTCACACCTCCTTACTTCAGAGGTTATAATGCAATGAAGTGCTAGGAGAACTTAGAAGATAACTTGTTGCGTGTATCTGGGTTTGCTTTATTAGTTACCTGCTTTTCTTCTATTTCCTTTCAGACAAAGAGAGTCTGATCACTGACAGTGGAAAACTTCATGCTCTTGATCTTCTGTTGACACGGCTGAAATCTCAAGGACACAGAGTTCTCATTTACTCCCAGATGACGCGGATGATTGACTTACTGGAGGTAGGACAGCTATAGCTGACAGAAGACAAATTATGAAGATGGAGATTTAGCAACACTGTTTTGGAGAAAGTACAATAATTTGGATGCAGCAAACCTGACATAAAGTTACTATACCAGAGTATATGCATTAATATGTGAATGTAAGAACTGCCATAGAAAGTTAGATCTAAGGTCCAACCTAGTGTTTTGCTGATAGCAGTGTATAACAGCAGGTGGTATGGGGAAAATCTATAAGAATAGTGATAATTCACTGTTACTCACTCAATTTCCAGCAGTTTGCAGTTCTAGGGGTTTCTGAACCATGTGTGCCTCCTATATACTCATTAGTCCAACATGCATTCTTCTTCCATGAAGTTGTTCATTTGCATCTTGACACCTTGGTAGGTGTTCGCATTTGCACTGCCCTGTGGCAAGGGGTTGCATGGCCTAATTATCCTCTTTTGCTGGTTTGAACTGCTTCCTTCTTTTTCATTTGATGCCTACATGCTCTTTTATTGGAAAGAAGAGGGAGAACAGTGGTAAATCTTGTAGTGTTTATGTTGCTTGTAATTTCACAGACTATTACCATTTCCCTCTAATATCTGATTCCTCTTCAGAAGTTTTGTAGACATTAAAAGCTTCTCTGGCATATGGGATAGGAAAGAAGTAAGGAATGAAGTCAAAATTTAAAAACAGACATTCTGCCTCTGAAGAAAAAAACACCTCTTTGTTTGATGAGCAGCTGTGCCACCAGAGAGCTAGGATACTGTCTTCTCCACAATAAACTGAAGAGAAAAAGTGAGAAGCCTGAATCAATAGCTGCCTAAGTCATGAGTTCTGTATGAACAGGAGAGTATTTTAAGGTCAGCAGTTAATAGTTCAATAACAAATCACAAGCTGAATTTTGTTTTTGCTGCTGTGAGGAAAAACAGAACTTGCATGGTTGCAATTCTGTATTTTGGCACTTTGCCTGGCATTGCTTTGTATGCCTCTTTTTTTGGCAAACATTGGACATGGTGTACGTTTGTTGATACCGTGCATTACACCATGAAGCTTATAAAGCTGTGTTGAGTGCTTCTGTCTTTTCTCTTAGCATTCCATTTGAAAGGCTTGTGAGCACTCCATTTTGCTATTCCATCTCTTGAATGTACAACTACACTTGTGTTTTATTATCAAAATAAGCCACCTACTAAGTCCTCTGTTTTTCTTTCTCCCCACCCAAGTAACAGAAGCTGAAGTTAAGCAAACTAAAAATCAAGGACTCAGTTAATAAGAAAATCCTTACAAAAGCTGTGTATCTGTAGATATTTAATTTTTCCTGATCTGTCAAAATATATCTGCCTGCTCGAATATGAAAAAACACAGGATGTCTTTTATAACAGTATTTGGACTATATTGCACTAACCTAATCTATGCAGGGCAGAGAGTACAAAGCACATTGTTTACAAAGTTATAAAACCATGTTTGTTTTATGTAGCTTCAGCTGAAGAGCTGCAGCGTAGTTCAGCCATTATAAAATGGCAGATATAAATACAAAGAGGAAAATTGTTTTCTTTCAACAGAAGATGATAAATTATAATTCTAGTATTGTTTTTTCATGAAGATGTGTATTTCATACTTTTTAAGATTTTGTTTTTCTCCATGTGATTGCTTTCTTCTGTAAAGAAGAGAAATTACTGTAGGAGTAATTGTCCATGGTTTCAGTGGGAATCAGACTGTATTCATGAGATGAGGAGTCAAATTATGTTCTGCATGAAGTAAAACGTCTTTGTTGTACTCTACCAAAAGTTAATGAGTTGTGTGAAAACATAAGATTACTCAATTTAGGCTGTAAAATAAAATGAAGGGAAAACATTTTCCTGAGAAAGTATCAATGTGGAAACCCATAAGAGCGCTGGCTTTAGCAGCACTGCATTCTTACCATACTCAGGTCATCCTGTGGTATTAGTTTCCTGTGTAGGTGCTCTGTTGCAAGGGTTTCATTGGTTGCCCTAGACTGATGCTTCTGATGGCTTGGTGACCCCTTACACTAAACAAGACTGGCAGGTAGATTTTTCAAGCAGGTCTAATACAAGGGTCTCTGTAAGACTGAAGCCTCCCTGTGAGGCTTCACCCACCCCAATCCATCATTCCCTGTGGGGAACTAGAAAAATGAACAGTCCCCCTATGCCTTCCACGGTTGCAGTAGAGACCAGGTATATTTCCTTCTAAATATCTTTGCCATCAGGGTCTCTCTTCAGCTAAAGGCATGCCATTGCTATGAGTGATCAGAGCACTGAACTGCTGAGAAGTGTAGTATGAATTGCAGTGTGGAATTTTTTTTACTTTTTTTTTTCTGAATTGAAAGGGTATACTGTTAATATTTGGGAAAGTACTGCACAAAACCAGTTCATGGCAAAAGTGAACAGTTGATATGAGCACTGTGTGATATGAGCACTACTGTGAAGTATCCACCTTGATCAGAGCGAGGTGGATGGAGGCAGATCAGAACCTGTTAGATGATTAGCTAAGGGCTAATGTACAAAGCTAATTTGCAGACCTGAGGGAATAAATGCTGGTACTGCAGGTGTAGAATAAGTTGTTCTTTTGTACTTTGTGCCTTTATGAAAATGCCTGTAGTCTGGAATAAGGATAAATGCACCTGATGGAATGAAAGAAGTTGTTTTCTGTTTGTGCTGAAGTTTGTTTAGAGGACAGATAATGAAAAGGTGGTTGAGAGATGAGGGAAGACTAAATCAAGATAAAAAGGTTGAATCATCATAAAGGCAGATAAAGACAATAACAAAGAAGTGAAAGGAGAAGGTTCTTGTGATAATAGTAAAAAAATTGATCAAATCTGGAGAAAAGGTGGCATAGTGCCTAACTGACAACTCTGTATCTCTGGTTTTAGTTGGTGACAGAAACCTGTCATAGAAATTGAATAAATTAATAGTTAATTAGGATTTGTTTGCCTGTGTGGTGAAGCAGCTGTTCTTTGCTTTGAACTTGTATTGTACTCCAGAAATCCTGCTAACCATGAGCTCTTTTTCATAGAGGTAATCCAAGTGTGGATCTCATCATTTCCACAATGTTTTATTTACCTAATTTTCTCTTTCATCTGCCTCATGTTGCAGCTTGCTTCCTCTGCATCTGGAAGCATCATTTTTTCCCCCACTTTGCTCTCAGAACCAGTCTTAAAGGTCCAGAACTTAATATCCAGCATAAACAGAACAGACAATTGGGGATAAAAGTATCATAAAGTCACCCCAGGACATTCAGTCTTTTTCTCAGTTTCCTTATAATATGGCAGCTCTTTCACTATTTCCGCAGAACACAAAGGGCTCAGGAGCTCTGAAGGAGAGGTGAAAAAGAGAACTGGGCATGGTACTGTCAGAAGCTTCATTAGAGTGCAAGAATTTCCATGTCTTCTCACAGCACACCAGTTCTGTGTCTGCTGAGCACTGTGATTTGGAGCAAGATGAATCCAATAGTTCTTGCTGCTAAAGCACTATCTGTTCCTTTCTGTCTTCATTTGCACTCACAGCATCTCAAAAAGACTCATGCACCAGCATGGTTAGACCTAACTCATGTAACCAGTAGGTGCTGTATCTTGTCAGCCAAGCAAGGATCCTATTGTTTAAGCATCCCAGAGAATATCTTTCCAGAGAAACTCTGTGGTTATTTGAGCTTTGTATGCAATTTGGATTTTATTGACAATTGCACAGGTATCAAAAAATGCTGAGACCCTTAGAGCGTGAAAAATGTCTCAGTGGAAAAAGCGTTTGCTTACAGCATTCCTAGCTGACGCCATTTGATTTGTGTCTCAGGCAATGGTTTCAGTTCCACTGCTTGGCAGGATCTGTGGACTGACACACCAGTGAAATGTTCAGTGTTCTCCTTTGGAAGGGATTCACAGGCTCTTCACTGCTGAGATAAAGCCTGGACAGACACACAGCACCAGGTTTTTAAAACCACCAGTCAAATGGTATAAAATCAACAGGGAGAAGGTGCAGTTGGTTTGTTTGGAAAGATTTGCTTGCGCAGTAAAAACTTGGGATTTAGTAAAAATTTAAAATCTGTAAAAACAAACTTCCCATTTTAGTGATTTTTGTTTACTTATTATTTATAGGAAAAGGCATGTACCAGCTCTGCAGTGCAGCAGACGTATCCCCAACTCTGAATTGACATTGTCATTTATCTCTTACATGAAATGCAGAAACCAACATATGATTGAGTAGCTTTAACTTCATAATAATTGTATTATTACCAAATGTTGCTTACAGAACATTTGTTGATGATCTTTAAGGAACCTTGTTGTAATTGGCAATCCTACTTTTATTGTGTGTAGGGGGGTTCTGAAAGAATCAAGACTGAACAGTTTCAAGAACAACTGTATTTTTTTGGTGCATGTTCTTTGCAGGAATACATGGTTTATAGGAAACACACCTACATGAGATTGGATGGCTCTTCAAAGATTTCTGAACGAAGGGACATGGTAGCAGATTTTCAGAACAGGTAATACATTTTGCAGGATGTGTTTGTGCTAAAATGCATGTACCTGGGAAACTGGTGTAAGATGTAATGGAAATAAATGAAATCTGCACTTTCCTTATATCAAATTGACCTCATTTATCTGAAACAGTGTCTTGGTGGTTTGCTGACCACAATAGCCACCTATTGTACTTCTTGCCAATCCAAATAGGCTGTTGCTTAGAAAGAAGCTCAGTAGAAAAGCAGCAAATGTCCAATGGTTATTAAATGCTATGACAATTGGCACTGTAAAGATGAGATTGAAAATCTTACATATGCTAGAGTATTGAAAGTGACCTAGTTTTCTGCAAAACAAAGCATTTAACCATACTTTACTAAGAAACCTTAAACTAGTATACAAAAGATAAGATGTGGGTTTTATTAGGTAGAAAGGTAGGGTAACTCTCCTCATTTCATTCATTTGGTTCAGTAAACCAAAATGGATCCTGACAATTTTAATTAGTGAATCAGGGCACATTACTTAAAATGATTGAGTTTATGGTTATTAAATTTTCTTTTAATCATAAGATATGGCTTGATGTCATTTTGGTACGGTAGTTCACAGTGAGGTTATCCTTCCTGTGTGTTGATGTGAGCTTGTAAGAAGGTCACTTTCCTATTTCAGTGGAGTTAGGTTCATAGATAGATGTTTATTGCAGGGTGAAAGCAACATTCTAGACTTGAGAAAATTCTTTATGTTAGTGGTCCCAAAATATCGTAGCTGAGGAGAGGAGTCAAGGCCTTTCAGGTCACTGGTTCATAAGGCTCACGGCCCTGAAGGACTGTGTTGCAATGCTGAGTCTTCTAGTGAGCTTGAACATGCAGAGAAGTGAGAGGATCATGTAGTACCTTTCTTTCTGCCTGTTTCCAGGTGTCAGAAACAAGTTCCTTGCAGATTTTGATGTCCTCCTGGTATCCTGACCTTCTGTTGTAAGGTCCTTTAACCAAAAGAAGTGAAAAAAATGGTTTTATTAATGAACAGAATTTGCTTTTAGTAACAAATAAAACCACTGAAGAAAAATAATAATTTCAGCAGGAAATCCCTTTGAAATATAGGTCAGCCAGTCTAAACAAGAATTCCTATAAAAACATTAGTTGAGTTCCTCTTATACACGATTTACTTACGAGAAATATTTCCAGGGAAAAAAGCATGATTGAGACTAAACTATTCTGCAGGATATCCTTGCAAGGTGCAGAAAATATATAGCTATGGGATGATAACTTGATCACGTAGTCTGTGGCTCTGTCTGCTTTCCTTCCCATATGGCATATCCAGAAGCATTTCACAGCTGGATGACTGTCTATTCACACATTCCACTGTTGTTACAAGAGAGCAGATTACCTGGCCAAGGATTACCTTCAGAGCAAACAGGCACTTGTTGACTCCTTTGGCTTTGTTACCAGCAGGATAAAGTCCAAAGATCGACAGCTTGGTTTTAGTTCCTTCTTGTTCATTCCGCAAGAATTTCTGGTACTTTACTGATTTTACATTTGCCAAGTTGTTCAGACAGTGTAGTACCAAAAGGATGTGGCATTCCAGACTGTCTTCTCTTAAGCAGAGAAGGACAATGTGTCAATGTCTTTGGAGTCCTTACTAGTGTACTGTCTGCTTTGTGTGTGTCAGCCTGCTCATAGATCCATAAGGTGTCCACTTCTAAATACTCCTGACCCTGCAAATACACCAGTGCAGTTCAGAACCTTAGCAGAGACTTTGATTTTGCTGTTACCACTTGAGTTTTCATCAGTACTTGGTCATGCTACGTATAGGCTTGTCTCCTTGTTTGTTCTCTTCAAAGCACCAAATTTAGAACAAAACATGCATCTACACAGTTTTGACTTTTATTTTTATCAGCTGAGTATCATTAAGACAAGATTTCTTTAACATCAGGTCAGTTCTGCGAAACAATAGATTGTTCTTTGTCTGTATGAAATCTTAATTTCCAGTGTGGACAAGATAAAGAGGCCCTGGTTTGTTCTGATACAGATTAATAAACTGCTATTGTGAATTGAATGTTTACATGTTCAGACAGTCCTCATTTGTAGATTACCTTCTTTCACTCTTTCATACGGTTTATTTTCCTTGACTGTGAATGAGCGGCACAAAGTGTCCTGAACTGTTTGAGTAAAGGAAATAGCCCTGATTGCTTCATATGGGTAAAAAAATTGCATCTGTGGTTATTCCTTGCTCATGCACAAAATAAGGGGGTTTAATCTCTTTCCTTTACAGGAATGATATTTTTGTGTTCCTGTTAAGTACAAGAGCTGGTGGCTTGGGCATTAACCTTACAGCTGCAGATACGGTAGGTGAAATTTGCTAACTATTTATGTGGGAAAATCGGTCATTCTGTGTGAAAGTTGGCACTATATTGCCCTTACTGATCAATAATTTCAGTACTGCCATTCACGTTGTGAAATTGCATAGCCTGTTTACTTTGTTATTTTCAATGTAGTATTATCTTGATGATAAAGTTGTAGAGTATTGGACATTTTGGTACACAGTTTTTGGTTATAGTTGGAAATTTATTCCCGCTGCACACATATTTCAGTACCAGATTCCAGAAAGGAGTTGGATTACTTAAGGGGTTTACAGGTGCAAATGACACTTAGATGGAACAGCATTCACTGTATGAATGACCCTTTGCTCCTAAGGTTCAGTTCCAAAGGAACCAGTGGAACAGTTACTCTTCCTTCTGTGCCCGTAAGAATGAAACAATGCCTATAAAAGTAGGAAACCATTTGTAGTTGAGCATCAGCTACTCTGGAAGGATAAATTTCTTCCTCTGAGGTGTAAAGACAAGACTGATTTAGGTGAATTGCAAGGATTTGCACTCTGGAGCAGCTGCCACTAATCACTAGGGAGGGAATACTGATGAACCATTCATCTTTTCATTAACAGCTATTCTTGTGCTTCTAACCTGCACCTGGTGTGCTTGCAGATTTGACCTCAAGTCTTTAGCTACACAAACCCAAAGATCTCTGAATCAAAAAAAAAAAATCTTGCTGGGAGTTGCAAGAAATCAGAAGAAAACAAGTATCCATAGGATTTTCAGGGTTTAAAAGAAGAAATAAACAGTTGGAAGCTCAGGCAGGGTCCTTGCATGAGCACTTTTAGGTCTGTGTTTTTCTGTGTAACTTGAATACTTTACTTGGCTGTCTAAATTTTTTTAACATGCTTTTAGTTTCTGTGCTTATTGTGCATAATGTCATATTAGAGTGATAGTGCAATATGGATTTAATGTGGCATTTCAGTTTTTTGTAGTCCAAGTACTAGAAATGTTAAACTTTATCTAGGTTTTGAATAAAAATCGGAGTATTACTTTTTGCATGAAATTCTGATATGACGGTAAGTAACACTAAAATGCGTCCATGATGTGCTTAGTCTATAATTGATTGCACAACAGTGATTTAATGGGATAACAAACTTGGGAATTTTGTGCCTCCCAGTCAGGTCTGTTTAAGAAGATACTAAAGATGTTCTGTGGAAGTTGAAACATTCACAGTGCCAGTTAGTTTGAACTCACCTGAAATGCAATGGAAGAGACTTCATAGGACTGGGCAAGGCTAATTCAACACAGCCGACAGTGGGGCTGTAATTCTGTGAAACATGATTGAACGTTTATTGTTATCAGTATATTGGATTTCTGTTTGTTTAATCACCAGGTGCTGTAAACATGTTAATCCTTGCAGGTAATTTTCTATGACAGCGATTGGAACCCAACAGTAGACCAGCAAGCCATGGACCGGGCCCACAGGCTGGGTCAGACCAAACAAGTCACCGTGTACCGCTTGATTTGTAAAGGCACCATTGAGGAACGCATCCTACAGCGGGCAAAGGAAAAGAGTGAGGTAGGAATAAGGAACTCACCTGGAATAAGAAGTTGCAGGAATGGTATCATAAAGCACATATCAATCAATATGAGTAAAGAGACAGAAAAAGTGTCTGCAGGGAGACAGAAGAGAAGGCAAAAGGAAGTGTCTTTGTTCAAATATGTGTCTAACACAGCAGCAGTCCAGTGACATTATATGAACTGGAAAGAAGTTAATTGTTTACAGTAAGACTTCATGAAAGCTATTTCTTATGTTGCAGTGAAACTACTCAGGCTTCTTTAAGACTAGGGCTTCTGTCTTTGCTGTGTCAGAGTTACTGATTCCTCTTGTGTTACACAACAGCAGATTTTTTTTAAAAGACATTTGGAAGGTAATCAAGTGGAAATTATTTGAGGTGTGAGGGTTGCCAGAAAAGCTCAATGTCCTGTAGCATCAAGCAGTAAGTGTACTAGGAACTTTAAACCTCAGGATACTTTATTGGCAAGAAAATAAGTAAGGAGATTAATGTTTTTTTGGTAGCAGTAGGTACTATATACAACATTCAAATGTTTTGTGTACTTGGAGTTTCTTCTGGCTTTTGTCTTACTTGGATGCTGCTCAAGATGTTGCAGTAACTGAATGCATTCACATTTCCCTTGTTAAAACCAATTTTTTTTGAGATACTGCACTATAGTTACCTGAAATCAGCCTGAAAATTAAGTGTAGTCTTCTGCTGGTGATCCAAATCATTGAAATTACCTTATGTTAAAGCTTTTTCTCTTCTGTTAAGTTACAACTCTTCTTAGTTGTTGGGTTTTTTAAAATACAGTTGTAGTAACAAGAGGCTGAGTGAATTGCTTAAACTGCAACACTGTCTCATGATGGAGATACGGTTTTCGGTCAAGGAGACTAAAAATGTTGCACGCTTTAAGAAGTAATCTTCATGATCCTCTGTGCAGTTACTTGAAAATTTGAATGGATAAATTATACTTGAGAGGGCTTTTGCTGTATTTTTGTTTTGTTTTATTCAGCAGTGTATTACTTAATACTATTATAATTTGTAGTTTATTACATAGTACTTCAGAAAAAAATGTAGCTTTCTATAAGGGATGGTAATTTTCTGCTATCTCAGTTGCTTCTTGTATTTTATACTCTGAAATACTTTGGTATGATAGAGAAATTAGTTAAGTCTGACTTAGATGTACTTGCATGATTTTTGCAGCTGGCTTTCAGTGATGGGTAATGAGAAATGTTTCATGGCTGCTTTGACTAATTTTTGCTTTTCTTCACTTGTTTCTTTCCTTCCAGATTCAACGAATGGTAATTTCAGGTGGTAATTTCAAACCTGACACCTTGAAGCCAAAAGAGGTGGTCAGCCTTCTGCTGGATGATGAGGAACTAGAAAAGAAATGTATGTGAAATTGGTGTTTCAGCAATTCCCCTGTTTTCACTTCATTACCTTATGAAATCTTTGTTTTTATCTCTACGAACACATGTATTGCTGATAACAGCTTCTGTTTCCTGTCTCTTTTTGTATTGCCAACTCTTGTTAGTACAAGCTGGTTTGATATCACTGCTGAGCTGAATGAAGTTGTGCAAAATGAGACATGATGATGTGATTAAGTTTTTATTGGCACGCACTCAGGATCATTACATTGTTCCTGAATGACAGAGCTTTGACAAGAACTATGTAGGTCATGACAAGAAAAGTATTAATAAAAGTGCTGTATTTCATCATCTTTTTGAAGTTAGAGAGGCATACTCTTTCATGTTGCTTGAAAGAAGAATTTCCCTGTAAGACTTTCTAGTGACTTGGAAACAAATAGTTTTAATAGAGTAATGCTTTCAATGTGTTTTAGTTTCAGTACAACTGACTTTTCTTCACAGTTCTGTTAGAATTAGAACTTCTTGTAAGGTTCATAAAAGAATAGGAAATATCTTTCCAATGGTGACAGTTTGTATTTCTTTTCCAACAGTGCGTCAGCGTCAAGAAGAGAAGCGACAGCAAGAGGAAACAAATCGTGTGAAGGAACGCAAACGTAAAAGGGAAAAATATGCTGAGAAGGTACTTTGATACAGAGAAGTTGCCTGTGTTAGTGACAGAGCCAGAAGAGCTTCAGAATCACTTAGGGAATGTGGAAACATTTTATGCCAAGGCAGCCTTAATGATTTAACCTTCTTGCCTTTGCTGTTGAAAGTCAGTCTGTGGCAGTTCCTTACACAGAAGAGGGATGTTACAAAATAAGTAATGCATAGTAACCTGTATTTTAGTCATTAGCAGCTTCAAAAACAGGGAAGTACTGCCTATCCTAACAAACCTGATAATCAACTGATCATTAAATTGGTGACTTTATCAAGGTTTTGTTCTGCAAGGACAAAAGAGAAATATAAAGAAACACAGATAAAACCCATATAGTTATGAGGCTTCTGTGAAACTAGGGAAGATCAGTTTGTTTAAAAAGCATCATTAAAATCAGTTTATGAAGATTCTGAGGTTTTAAGACAGGGAGGCTTTGCATTAATTAATTGGAATTTTGTGTAATGGTAAAGAATTTCAAGTTTGCTCCAAAAGGTACGAGAAATCAAAGTAATTTTGTAGGAGTAATACTCCATCATTCCAGCTATTTTATGAAGAAAAACAAACAAAACCCTTCTGAAATCTAAAGAAGGAGCATTTAAGGGATCTGTTACCATATCCTTTAGAAACTTGTTTTGGGAAATTCTTCATTTGGCATTCCTTAACTTAAAATACTGCAGTAGATTTTGTGATTTTTGGGTTGCTTGTTCCCATACTTAAACAATAAAACATACTGTTTTATTGCCTTTTCATTCCTGGTATTACTTCATTTATTTCAGAAGAAGAAGGAAGATGAATTGGATGGGAAGAGAAAGAAGGAGAACATGAACCTTGTGATCCCATTTGTTCCCTCAGCTGATAACTCCAACCTGTCTGCTGATGGGGATGACTCTTTCATTAGTGTAGACTCTGCCATGCCCAGTCCTTTCAGTGAGGTAAGACTCATTGCTGCTTTTACCCACATACTGTTTCAGCTGTGGCCCTACATCTAGTAGGATTCTTGCTGTCTGTTACTTTAGCTCTTGTAGAGCTTTGAGTATGTGGGGAAGTGACATGTCTTAAAGGTGAGCCATGCAAGTGAAAATAGTTTACTGAAAATGCAACAGCTGCTAATAAGCTGCCTTACAGCTCCTCATGTTACTTGACATTCCATTATTCCCCTCTTCCTTCATTCTCTGCCTCCCTTTTCTTACACTGAATTTATGCTCTGACTTCTCTCCCTTCCAGTCCATGAAATTTTTCCACTCTTACCTGGAGTCCCACTTACTTTCTTCATATTTTCTTGTCCCTTTTTCCTGCCTTTCTCATGCTCACATTTATAACCATGTGCCCTCTCCCATACCAATATCTTCCCTAGCAAGAACACTGCTCCTGAGCCAAACAGTATCCCTCAAATAGCTCCTTGACTTTCAGTATCTTTATAAGTACCATACCCTCACTAGTCTCATCTATGTCTCCATCTCTGCTTCCTTGCTTGCATCAGGTTCTGAATTATTGTGTTTTTTCTCCTCTGGAATTTAAATTAAAAATTCTCAGTGGCACACAGCTTCTTTTCCTTATCTGTGTGTGAAGAATTGCAGATTGGTTTTAGCAGCAAATGTATTTTGTTCTGTGCCATGTCAATTAGGGTTTTCATATTGTACTATTCCTTTATTGATCAAGATTTTTATTAGCAGTAGTAGTGGGTTAAGAATCCTATTTTGTCTTTTGCAGTTGAAAATGCACTTAAATCTCTGTGAGCTCATTAGTCTTTTGCTTCATAACTTAACATGTATTTTCATGAATTGAAATTAAATAGCGAGTGGAGATCTTTCCTGCTGCTCTGTGTGTAAATAAAGTGTGATGTGATCTGGCAGATGATGTATCATGCTCAGGCTGCTACTGTAGAGAAAATGGGAAAGAACAAGTACCAATTACTTGTGATTGTATAGGTTTTGAACATCTTACTATTTTTGTACCCTTTCCTAACCTGAGAAGCTAATGGCTTTGTTCTCCGTCACATTTAGATATCCATCAGCAGTGAATTACATATGGGCTCTATCCCTCCTGATGAGAGCAGTAATGATATGCTTGTGATTGTGGATGATCCAGCTTCTTCAGCACCTCAGTCAAGGGCAACAAACTCTCCTGCTTCCATTACTGGCTCGGTTTCAGACACCGTGAATGGTCAGTACTCTTGCCTTGATTTATTATTAACATTTATTAAACCTCGACCTTGCATGGTTAAGTGATAGGTTTTCTGCATTTTACCCAGGGTATATGAATGGTTGGCAAGATTTGGGGGTCAATAATTGCCTTTTCATTGCAAAGTTACTTCTGATTTGATAGGAAATCTGTTTGTAGTCATTCACCACACTTACCTCTTTTCTGTGTTAGTTACTTCAAAACTTTGCTTCAGTTTTATGGAGGGCTCTCCTTCCCTTAAGCTTGCTACCAAATTACAGACAACCACAGAACTATTAATCTCTAAGCTTTTCCTTTAATTTGGTGTTGAGTTAATAATTAGTTCTCTCTCTCCAGTGGGTGGTTGGAGCAAATTTTTTCAAATGCATTGTAATTTTAAATAATGTCAAGTGCTTTTAATTACTGTAGTTTTCCACAGTGAAATAAGTAGAATCATAGTTCTTGACGAGTTTCTTCAGAGATAGTAGATGGAAAATAACTGCATCTCCATCTTCAAATAAGAAAATTCATCATCCTGAAGCAGAACTCAGAATCCTCCACCTCTGTGGGTTCCATCCATAATAATACAAGTAGTTGCAGTTAATAAGATACTGTTGCTGAAGAGAGAAGTTTTGTACATAATTTCTTTTCACGAGACCGCTGCTTGCTAACAGTGTCCCTGTTACTGTAAATGCCACATAGGAGCAGTATTAATGTAGCTGGTTGGTAGCTTTGATGCTGGACTCACTTGTGAGGCACAGGAAACACTGCACGAGTCTCTGTTTTAACATTCTTTCCTTGTTCAGGCGTTTCAATGCAAGATTCATCTCTCGCTGCCAGAGGCCAGTCAAGTCGAAGCCGGGGTCGTCCCAAGGGCGGCTCCAAAGGTGGCACTGGGAAAGGCAGGAGTCGGAAGTCAATAGCGGGGAGCGCAGCGGCGATGGCAGGGGCCAAGGCCGGGGCAGCGGCGGCCTCTGCGGCGGCGTACGCAGCCTACGGGTACAACGTCTCCAAAGGTACGTGGGGCAGGGCACGCACCCGGCTGCCCACAGCACAGCCAACGTGAGCTTGCGTGATGGCTGCTTGCAGCCTGTCAGGAGATGGGTTCAAAGTGTTGTGTTGTCGGTCTTGTCCATTGTATTCTGAGATCCAGGCAGTACAAAGTATGACATGGTGACAGGATAGCCAGTTTTACCTCAGATGACCTTGAGTTGTGTCTGCCCTTTGAATTATCTCATACCAAGTGTTTTTCCTCCTGGGTTTTTTTTTTCTGTTGGTTGTGCGTGGATACTAAATGCAAAAAGCAAGCAGAGAACAGAGCCTGTGTGAAACTAAGTCACATGGGCTTCTCACTCTGGCCTGAGAAAGCATAAGAAAGAATCGTCAGTCCTTGGTAAAGGACAACAATCTCTGCAGGTGGTGTTTAGGAAAACAGTCAAGGGGTGTTAACCAATGATGGTGATGTGTTGCTTTAATAACCAACAAGAGTTTTACCTCTTGGACCTTCTCAAACATGTGTATAAAAGAAGATTAAGAATAATAAACTTTGCTCTCTTGGACAATGCAGCTAGAAGAGTCATGTCCTACTGCTTCGCTGTTCCTAACACAGTGCGACAGTTGTGAGGATTTTTTTATGTGTCATTCAGACAGATCAGATAGAGTTGTTTATGCTATGGCTGTGCATGTGGTTTTCCTGCATTGCATCATGTTTGAAGTTACAGTATCACATTCCAAAACCTGCTAAACTGATGGTGGTTGAGCTGCACCTTCACACCACCTGAAGATAGCCAAGGGTATAACTGTAAGATGTTTTGTATCTTAAGGAAATCCCTCTTGATTAAACTGTCATAAGTCATGAATACAGACTTAGGACTGATTGTTAATACATTGTCTGCTGTTGAAGAACCACAAGTGGAATAATATGCTCATGTAGAATTTGGTTCTCTTTTCTATTGCTAGGCATGTCTGCAAGCAGCCCTCTACAAACAGCAATCATTCGGCCTTCCGGACTTGCAGATTTTGGACCTTCAAGCGCCTCTTCTCCTTTGAGCTCCCCTTTGAGCAAAGGAAACAGTGTCTGTGGGACCCCCAAAAGTTTAAACCTGACCAGCAGTCTCATATCAGAAACTTCAATTCGGAAGCAAAGCAAAGGTGCCCACACCTCAGGTGGTCGGTAGTATATTGAACCCCCAAAGCTTGTCTGAACTGTGTTGGCTTTCAGAGTAGACCACCCTGCCAGTCAAAGGCATGCTAACAATGCCTTGCTGCTGTCCAGCACATGCGTGGAAAGAAAATCAAAGCACAATGGGAGTGGGTGGTATATGTGAGCACTTTGATTATGTGTATTCCAAAAAACTATCTTTGCAGACACTGCAAGAAGGAGGGAAGGGAGTCTGGGGTAAGAAAGCATCCAACTACTCCATGCAATATCCTGCAGCTGTGTGTGCTTGGAAGTCACACCAGTATACTTCCTCTCTTATAGCCTGAGTTGGAGCCCAGCATTAATTTTGTTCTGTGAAATCAGTATCTGAACCCCAGGAAAATCCTGTAGAGTCACAAGACATTTCTGTCCTGGCAGCTGGTCAGTGAACATGCAGGAGTAATTGTGGGCTATGCTGAAGATGCTGTGTGATCAAAAAAAATTCTTGGATTCTTCTGGTGTGGGTCTCTGGGTTCTTTAAAGACTTGAAATTCAAAGGAAGGTGTCTCAGGTGGTTTTCAGGGAGTGGACTCTTTACAGCATCATTGGTCAGGAAGCTGTTCAGAGCTGCAGAATACAGGGAGCGCTGTCAGGCCTCATGAGAGCAGCAGCACAGCCTCTGCTTCACACAGTGGAAGAAACCATAGGCCAGTGATTGGTTTGCATTTCAGAGTTCTTGTCAGCATGAACACTTAACGTGTTCAGCATGATTTCTCTCATTTTTGTGGTGTGCAGAATTCTTAAAAGCTTAGAAACAAAATAATGCTCTATTTGTACAAATCTGGAGAAGGAGGAAAACTGAAGTGCTGAGGAGGCGTTTGTGCTGCTTCTCTCACCATGCCGTAGCAGAGCATGGATCTGCAGCTTACAGTGCTGTGAGAGGAGCAATGAAAAACAATCCTGAGAGAGAACTGTGCCATTCCCCCTTCCAGCCAAATCCTGGGGAAAAAATTGTCTCATATCCCAGCCATCCCATTGACTGTTCTTGCAATGTGTTTTCCCTTCATCTTTGTGATCATCACACATACTGGCGTGGTTGAGTTCACTGCAGTGTGCGGGCAGTAGCCGTGTCCCACGAGGCTGGTAGAAGGCAGTGCTGCCAGCACCCATCCATGTTCTTGTTCCCTGGTTGCTCCTTCCCCGTTCTTGATGCACAAACCCTGCCCGTAGCCCCTTGCTTTGCTGTAAGCGTTGTCTGCATTGCACTGAGATTTAGGTGTGGGACAGTTGTTCTGTCTCACACATTGAATTAAGAGGCTGTTCTGCCGGGGCACTTTCATCCCTTGAGAGAAGCAAGTTGAGTTGCAGGTCTGGGCTGTGACAGTGGAAGATGATTTCTTTTTTTATTATTATAATTTTTTTCTGACCCCAAATCCTTTGCCTGGCGTCCTACAGTGTAGACCGAGTGCTTCCTGTTGGTTCTGCCTCTAATTTGCACACCTGAAAATAGCAGAACTGAGCTTAGTTAGATTGATTTTTGAACAGATTTGCAGGGGATAATTGAGGGGGAAGTGATGTTTAATTAACTCATGAAGACTTCCCCCATCCCCTTCTATTCACATGTATATATGATATTTAGAGGGAATCAGACAAATGCCAAGCCTTTTTTTCTCTTTGAATGTGCTGTCTATTTTTGTAACTGAACTTGTACATATGTATAAAGAGAGACACATCTTTCTTTTACTAACTGGAGGAGAAAATCTTAAATAAAATGGAGTGAGATAATTTTATGTAAATCAGTGTCTTTGTGGTTTTTATGCATGTAGCTGTATGAATGAGAGGATTAGGGAAGAGAGAGCATGGAGGGGTGTGCATCTGGAAGTGCTTCTGGAGACAAACGCTGCTCAATGTAAAGCTCTAGAGTGTCTGTGCTCTGCCAAGTATCATGTTTGTAACCTTCTTCAGTTACAACTGTACCCTTACCCATATCTGTATTCACTGATTACCTCATAGTCTATTTTGGAGTAAGTGTGCAGAAGGTCACAAGAAAACAGAAGCTACTAAAATACATGTAATTACACAGAACCTGAACTTCAGTGGTTGAATTCAATACAGTTGATTGTTAAGAAATCATTCTCTTATAGCTATTTCTTGTTTTTTTCCTTTTTTTTCTTTCCAGTGGGAGTTAAAAGGACTTTTTTATGCACAGTCTAGATCTCCAAACTGCTAGACAGTTGCATTAATTTATAATCCAAAGTGGAGAGAAAAAATAAAAATTAGAAAAGCTTGCAAAAATATAATATGTACTGTCACATTTTATACTTTTGGAAGGTTAAATTATTGATATTTAAAACACTGAGAAATATAAAAAATGTGTATTTGAGAGTATAAACATATTTAGAATGTACTTATAAAATAAAATATTACCTATATTTAACATAACATAAATAAAAATACTTAAAATCATTTAATCTTCAAGAGAAACACCAAATGACATCACAAGTTGTGGCAAAAGTGGTGGTAGTCCATCTGCTTGCACAGTTTGTGTCAGGCCGAGAAGTTCAGGAAGATCTAACATATTTGTAAAATAAATGAACTGCTAGATCACATTCAGTTACATTTCTGTAAGACATTAAAGGTCAACATTCTTGGTATTATGTATCATAGGAGAAAAGATTCTGTGATAGTAATCAAGGAATTGGGAAAAAATCATGTGATGGCTGTCCTGGTCTAATTTCTTGGTTTGAGGAAGGAAGTAGTGCTATAGTGACAAAGACTAGGAATTTTTTAAGAAGGTGGAGGTAGTTTTCTGATCAATACCTGGGGAACACTTCTGTTGAAGAGAGCAAATGGATGTGTACACTGAAGCTTTGTTCTTTGTAATTTCATCTGAACATCTTTGCACTCCAGCTGTGTGTTATGCACTTATATGGATTAATGGCAGAGAAAGTCACTTTACTCCAAGAGATCAAGCTATTTACTAAAGGTGAACACAATGATTGAATGAGCTGAGTTTGTGTATTGAGCTGGAATGGTCAAATAGCAGTCAGTATGGTTTGGGGGATGTTGGGAGTGCTGTGTATTCATCATGCTAGTTCATTATAGCATTTTCCTCACTGATCACTACAAAACTGTTAAATACAGTTCACTGATCAATGCTACTACTGAAGATATTTAAAGGTGATAATTTTTTTAGGTGCTGAGAAGTAATTATTTAAATTAAAAGTGCTGTAGTGTCCCAGCCTCACACACATTTTTGTAGTTTAGCCTACAAGGGTTGTCTAGTTCAGAAGGGTCCCCAGAACACCCTTTGTGTCCCTCAGCCTGCATTTTCTCTTTCCTGTTATGGCTCAAGTCTGCTGTCCTTTCCATTTAGCCTAAATTCCTTTTCCTTATTCTGCAAAGATATGAACAGGTTACTGCAGGATGGTTTGAACCAGGAACTGCTTTAATTCTTCACTTCAGGATATTATTGCTGCACTGTCCAAATGTAGTGTTATTTCTGTGCCTTCTCCCCTCTCTGTCGCATGCTTTCCTCACCACAATGTCCCTGCTCTTTGCTGTCCTGTGTCCCCTTTGTAGAAAGCTGCCTGTCTGCCTAGAGCTGTATCTTGCTTTATTTCCATATCCCCAAAGTATTTCCTTCAGCAGCATTTCCCAGTGGGGGAGGCATACAAAGCTCAGTGGGAAAAGCTCTATGCAGCAGAAATAGGGATCTGCACTACTTTGATTGTAGCTCAGGAGCTACAGTTGCAGCTGAGAGGAGGAAGAGCACAATAGATAAAATCACTCTGGGGCAGGATGTGGATCAGTGTAATTTGGGAAGTGCTGCCCTGTGACCACTGCACTGCATGTCCTGTCCTTGTCTCAGTGGAGCGTCCTGGCCTGCTTCTGCTCCCAGATAGACTTACAGGCTCCTCAGCTTCTCACTTCTGCCTCCATCTTTCTTTTTTTGTTGACACTCTAGTCTGAAACACACTATAACACTCAGGGAGCCTTACAGGCATGCCTTGTGCTCCCCTTCCTGCTCGAGGAGGGATGGTGGCACATGCCCTGCTGTCCTCTGGAAATTTCTGTTGGGTGGCTGGAAAACAATTTGTAGCTCATTACCCAAAGGGATGCTGCTTGCATGTGAAGTATAACTGAGACATACGTACTAAAATAAAGGTAATAATATCTTACACTCCTAGATTTGTGAAGGATTTATTTTTCATTTGCAGCCTGCACCAGTTGCATAGCAGTGAATGAGAGGGGAAGGGATGATTCAGCCTCTCTCTCAGGAGCATCTATTAGGACAATACAGATGGCCCAGCTCTCAGATTCAACCAGCAGATCTCTAGAGTAAACAAGTTGTTCTTGTAGCACTCATATTAGCATGTGCTCCTCTGAAAAGCATCCAACAAATGCCTCTTGAAATGGAGGAGTGCAGGATGAGTTGGGTTTCCTCCAACTTCAGCCTCCTCTTTGCTCCTGCCTAACCCTTCAGAAAAGTGAAGTTACTCTCAAAGCTAATAGGCCTTCTAGGCATTTTGTACTGTACTCTATTTATAGAATGTTCTTCTAGGGGCATATGAGGGAATTATTTTGCATCCTAAGCATGAGGAAATGTTTCAGTACTCAGGTATGAAACAATGACTCCTTCCTTCCTCAGCTGATGAGCATCCCTGATAGAATGAGGGATGAAAACATTGGAACATGGAGGGGAAGAAAACATTGGAACACCACTTCTGTGTCTTCTTGAGTTTCCTGTGGAGTGTCTCTTCCTTCTTTGTTAGTATTGCTGGTTCCATTAGGTCTGCTGTACTTGGCAGGTGACCATGTGAGCTTTTAAACATCCAAGCACTACAGTATCCCTTGTCATCTCTGACTTCTTTTTGCAAGCAATTGGGGTTTTTTTCCCTCCCTGTCCTCAACCTTATCCAAATCCTTTTAAGGCCCAAAGTGCTTTTGGTTTGTAGGAGAAATTCTTCTGTCTAAAGTGTTAACTTTCAAATGTGTGACCCTTATGCCTTGTACCTCCTGTTGTGAGCATTATGAATTAAGATAAAGCTAATCATACAAGAACTCTTACTGTTGCTCAGAGATGAGAACTTACTTGGAAATTTACTACTTCTTTGGATTATCTCACAAAACTGATTTTTTTGACTATTTGTTAAATTTATTCAAATTTTCTTATTAATAACAAGAAACTAGAAGCTTTCTTCTCAAGATGTGTTTAAGAAATGCTCTCCTATTTGGTGAAACAAATCCTATTAATCTTACCTCTCATCTATTCCTGTAGTTCCTTTGATGTGTCCCTACATCTTAACTTCTCAACTGGGTCTTGCTCTAGGAAGAAATACATCACAGGTGGGAGCCCTCCCTTCATACCATGGTAAGATGTCATCTGTCTTTCAGGTGGTTGTCCTTCAGGTATCTTTTCAAGTGTGGTGTTACAGTTTCCCTTGATGTTACAGTAGAGTGCAAACACAGAAATTCTCATTTTTATTCAGCGTAGTGAGTACCTTTTAGAGTTTTGCAGCTGCTGCATAGACAAATGGTTTTATGATACTTGTTCTTCAACATTGTTCCTAAAGAACTCCCCTCCCAGGTAAGCTCTTTGCTGAGGAAGAACATTTGTGTTTGCTGGGAACAACTATTCTCTAATTCACAGCCTTCTGTAATTCAAGTAACTTTCCTCCATGGACAAGTTAAAACTTATATCAGGATTGGTCTAAACCCATCTGAGTTCCTCACAGTCATCTTTGGCAGCCCTTGTCCTCCCTGCAGTCAGTCGGAAGAGGCGGCGCAGAGTGCCTGTCTATATTTCACTCAGCCCATGGAAGGCTGATGGGGTTTTTTTAAGAACAGGAGAGTCAGCAAATTTCACACTTAGCTGGCTGAATGTTGCTTTGTTTTTTTTTTAAACTACATTAAGCGTTTGGCGTGTGACTGCAATTAGCTACGTGCTGATCAGTGGAGCGTGCTGCTGCACAGTAAATGCAATGGCACGTGGCCCGACACACCCTTGGGTGACACTTCATTGTCTGTGACAAAGCTCCCAGGTTTTCCTTTGCAAGCAGGGGAAACAGGAGAGATGTTCAGGCTATATGAACCTTCAGAGGATTTTGAAAACCAACATCCAAAAACCTGTTTTGGGGGTGTTACTCCACGCATCTGGTGGATGCTAATGGGAGGCCCCTTCTGAGTCTTATTTTCCTTCCTGCTCCTGGTCTTTCCATGGAGTTCATGTGAACACTTTTTTGAACAATGTCTGCATTCTTGCAGACCTCCCTCTTGCCATTTAATCTAGATTTTTCTTTGATTTGATCTTATTTACAATCATAGTACTATAGTATTTCATAGAACTATGGAATGGTTTTGGTTGGAAGGGACCTTGAAGATGTTCTAGTTCCAAACCCCCTGCCACGGGCAGGGCACCATTTTTGTTGAAGAGGATCTCGAAATAGCTCTAAAGGTACATAATGGGACATTCCAGTCTCTGGATTTCAAGGGCCCCTGACACAGTAATTCAGCTTCATAATGTCTGTTTGTCCAGATGACTGCAGTTTTTCATCATTCTCTGCATGTTCAGAGTTTGGAAGAAATTACTGTAACTAACTTTCAGGCATAATTTTACTGAGATATTTATTTAATCTGGTTAGCACACAAATTATTTTTTTCTTACTATTTTAGTAATTTGACACTCAGATCAATTTCAATTGAAATTGGAAGCTTACTGACATTGTGATGCTGAATCTGTGATGGACAAGGAGATTTCTAAAACAGTGTTGACTTGGGACTGGAAGTCCTGATA